GGTCTCTGCGGGGCCGAGTGACGGCGGGCTGAACTACGACGACGAGGACGACGGGCCGTACAAGCCGCTCACGAGGCCGCCTGGGTTCGGGCAGGTGCCGCCTATGCAGCAGACGTTCAGCCAAGAGCCCGAGCCCGGCAGGTTTGGCGGGCGCAGAGGCGGATGGGGAGACTTCAGGGGACGTGGTGATAGGGGCAGAGGCCGTGGACGCGGTGGACGCGGTGGGTTCGGACAGCGCGAGGGCAGAGACGGGTACTCCATGCCGCAGCAACGGCACCAGGAGCAGCAATCACAGGGACAATGGGGAGGTAACAACAACAACTACCAGCAGCCTCAACAGCCGCAGCAGCAGACTACGCCGGCCCCCGCGGCACCAACCTTCAACTTCCCGTTCCCGGGCATGCCTCCTCAACAGGGCGGTCAAGGATTCCCGGCCGTTCCGCCGCCGCCGCCGCCTGGTTGGCCGGCGCAGGGCGGACAGACAGGGCAGAATCCGGCGGCGGGAGCGTATATCAACCCTGCCTTCTTCGCGGCCCTGCTGGGACAGATGCAGCAGAACCAGGCGCAGAACGGTCAGCAAGCGCAGCAGCAGCCGCAGCAGAACCAGCAGCAACCACCGCAACAGCCACCGCATCAATGGGGCGCGCAGCCTCCTCCCCGATGAATCAGATAAGGAGAGGGAGGCCTAAGCTGAGATGGGTGGCTGCATCGCCTCGCAGACGTCGATGCGTGATCGATCTTATTCAGGGTACCCGGCGGTGCTGTTTGGATGGAAGATAGCAGAACGTGGAAGCATTGCCGTGTGAATGACGGTGACGCAGTAGCCGGTTGAGAACAACTGAAAGGCCACTATGGCACGGATTATGGCGAATGAAGCCAGGGGGTATCAAAGTGTCGGGTGGCTTGAGTTAGCTGCCTGCCTGGCCCCTTCTGCTTGTCGGCCTGGACGAAATTCAAGCCAGGACCTTAAAAAAGCATTTGCATGTAATAATTAGACTTGAGACCGCAAACAATGCGAGACGAGACAGATTTCAGCCACGGACTAGAAAGGCAAGACACAAGTTATTTAAAGTTAAAAGCTCGTTGGGCTTGGTGATCCTGTTGCATCTCCGGTGAAGCTGGGCAACGGGGCTGAACGCTTGCATCCATCGAGACTGATGCTGCAGAGATGTCATGTTCTGGACGATCATGAATGTTCTGGTGCCGGTGCGGGTGCATCTCGACTATCGAACGTCGGCAGCTGGTGCAAGGGAGATTTGCTCAGGTCGGTCGGAGATCGCAGACGCGACAAACGGGCCAAGCTGCATAGATAGGGCCGACGATCCCGAATTAGCGGTCGATATATCCAAGTAGCCGGGGAGAAACATGATCGTCTGAGAACTGAGACGGCGACCCAGACTCAAACTTGGTTGGTTGGGAACTTGGGAACGTTTCTTTGTTTTCGTCATTTACCCAGAAATGAGTAAGATGAGGGCAGCGCAGATCTACGACGCTGAGCCCCAGGAGCTTGAACTTTGCATTTTGGCAATGTTGACCTCGGTCACGAATGCGACGGTGGCCCCGGTTGGAACGCGTGTTTGACGTGATTGCGGTGTCCACAGGCGCTCCCGCGTAAGGACGGAGCCCTCCATTAGCGAATTTCGTTGCTGACGTTGGTTGCCTGCCAAAACCATGCGCCGATGCGGTGTTTTTCATGCACCCGGGGGACAGGGTACGCCGACTTTAATCTTGCTCGTAGATTTTCTGTTCCCTCCCATTCCGCGTGTCGTGGCATGGATCGCGGGCAAGGCTGGGTTCCATGTGCGGAGGAAGGCCGTAGGAGGCTTCATCTCGGTAGTGGTGGGGAATGGAACGGCTTGGCGGGAGTTGGGAGTCTGTTGGCAGATCATGGCCCCCGTCGCCCAATCTGCGATGAGGGGAACCACTGAACCAGACGGCTCGGGCGGAGGAGACGGCTGTTTCAGAAGGTTTCCCAGTGCGCTAGACGGCGCCGTTTACTCTTCCCCGGGAGATTTCCCCCGTCGCTTTCTTATTTCCCATCTTGTGCCGTCTTGGACAGCGGGAGTTTTGTGCGCTAGGTTCGGGCGGAAGAAGCAAGCACAACGCCATAAAATCGAACGGTGAGCGATTTTGGTGATTGCTAGACGTGAAATAGGGTATGGATAGTGTCCGAGCATGCTCGAGAGCAGAAACTCAAGTTGGCATAACGTGGCCTGACCCAACTCGTATGAGAGATAAGCAGGGCGAGGCACGCAGACGTCCTTGGATGTCCATTTCCGTCGCACTGGCTGCCGGGCACTGACTGAGCTGATAGTCTGGGTGCAGATGCATCTTTGTCAGGCCTCCGACTCGAAGAAAAGGCAGGCGGATCGAGAGGGAAAGGAGCTGGCTGCGAAGCACAGAAGATGTCATGCCATTTTGAAGGGCATGATTGCTTCTTGTCTCCTCCCCGGACCCTTTGAAAGGAATGGTGTTTCGGCGGTATTGTCGCTGTCAAGCGAGACATGTGTCTGACGACTGGACGGCGGCGGGGAGCTGTGGCTACCTCTCTAGAAGGCTGCGGGCCGAATGTCGAGATGATGATGGGCAGATTGAGCCTCACCAAGAACGCCGGCCTTTCCAAGCTGCGACTGGAGGGAGAGTGCGACGATGACCGTAGTGATGACCTCGGGCCAGGCTATTTTGATGCGATTTTTGGCTTTACTCTTTCAGTCGTAGACGGCCATGAGATGGTGGCCTGCAGGCTGCTTGAAGCTCTAGAAGCCTAAGCAGCCTCCCGCTCTTCTCGAAGAAACCCGAAGAGGAGAGCGAGCATATGGTCGGTTGGGCTAATGTCGCCCATTGGATGCCTGTGAAGCAAGAAAAAGGGGAGTCGGCGGTTGCAGTGAGTGGACGTCGCCGAGTCGTTGGCGACACCATCAAGTCAACCCCTCCAGAGGTCACAGGTGCGTGTGCCTGCATGGCCAGTTGGCCACAGGCAGGCAGTGGCACAGCATTTTGCGGACGCAGGTACGGCAGGATTGTGGCCCCTGGGCCCTGGTTGGTGATGACGAGAAGCAGGCAGAGTTGGGATTTGGGATTTGGGGGCTGCGGATTGGAGCTCGGGCCGGCCAAACGGTCTTTCCTGGTTGTGCACCGTGTGACGTGATTGGACCAACATCAGGCGAACCCTGAGCAAACAATTTCGTCTATCCTGTGGGATGCGCGGTGGAACCACACGGCGACGTGAAGGCCAATCAGACAACACCGGTACCTGACAGGATGGAGCTGGGGATCCCTGGCTAGCGTGGACCGTGCATGGCGCTGATGAAGATGGGCGCCGGTGTGGATGGTTTTAGGCTTGGAGCAGGGCCGAGTTGCGGGAATTCGACGAGCGAGCGAGTTGTGCAAGTCTCTGGGGACTCGGGAGGGAGCAGAGGGCTGATCAGGACGGGCGATAATTGAACGCGACCGTACCGCTGGCATTGAGGGAGCCGGCGATGACACAGGGTGCAAAGGAAACCATGACACTATCGCGAAATGTTTGGTTTGTGCTTGTGCAGAGTTGTCATTTTCCCTGAAGGCGCAGGGAGATGCCCCAGAAACAGCTCAAAGGTGAAACGCTGACTCGGCGCGTGGCTTCGCGGATCAGATGCATTGTCGAATGGCCGTTGAATGCGCCGTTGCATTTTTTTTTTTTTAAACCCAGCCGCAGTTGTTTGTTTGTTCCCATTGTTGAATTGTGCAAAATGTGATCCGAGCCCCCTAGCAGAAATCCAAAAGAGTGGCCTCCGTCGCCAAGGGACACCAGCGACGACCACTGTGACCCCCAGAAGCCGCTAACACGGCAAAAACTGCAGGCGACACAAGCCATGCCGTACCGCACGGCCGCGCTTTCCTGCAAGTGCCATCCCATTTCCATCGGTGAGCCAGCGGCAGGAACCAACCTGAGCGCTGAGTGCAAGACAGGAAGTCGCAACTGCCTGAAGGTGGGTGGGCAGAAAAAAAAAAAAAGAGAAGACGCTGCGGGAGGGAAACAAGTGCCAGGAACGCGGCCAATGGGCGACTCGCTGCGCAGGGATCGTCGTCCAAAGTCACGACCAGTCACACCCGCCGACACCCCCGTCAACACGCACACACGCACTCGCTCCCACTCACATTGGGCTGTCATCCTTGTCTCTCCGTCCAACGTTGCTTGGGTCCTCGTCCACTCGTCCAGGATGCGCATGCACTGACTGCAACCTCGACTTCCCCGTCTCCTTCTTCTCGCGCCCTTTCCCACTTTCGTCCCTCTTCTTTCTGTCCGTCCCATCCCATCCCATCCCGTCCGAACTGCACTCACCGGGACTGTTCTCTCTGCCGCTGCCAGACGCAACCGCCAACAGGGTCGTCTTCTCCTGCAGCTTGCAAAGAGTGACTGGTGCAGATTCATCCGTTCTTTCCCTCCACACGACGTCTTCCGTCTCGTCTGGATGACAACTCACTGTCATTAACACTGACTCTTCCGTGTGTGTTGTCCATCACCTGTGAGCTGGTAGTGAGATCTTCAACCTTTCTCCCCTCATCCACCTCTCGCATTACTCTCTTTCCCGGCCCAGCGCCGCTTTACGTTCGTTCTCAAAAATCGCACACCACACAAAACGGTACAACCTCCTCGAAACCAAAACAACAAAGATCTTCGAGACCGAGACACCCTCTCTCACAACCCGTCCACGACAGATCTGAGCACCGCGACTCCCTGGCTGGACCTCTTTACAGCCCGTTCATTCTTTTGACGATCACGATTCATCTGGCACACGTCGCCTAAGAGCATACCCATCATCAGCCTCTCCAGCCCACGCCAGTATCCCTCAGAGATATTCCAGATACCCCTCTGACCCACGAACCACGACATTCACGATTCGACTACCGAAACATTCCATCACCTTCATTCTTATCACGACGACTGCTGGCTGGGCCTATTGAATTACTTGACCTCGATCCACCCGACCTCGGCCACGACACGACCTCAGCTTTACACAATGGCTCACCACCACCGTGCTGCTCACAGGCATCTGCCTCGCAATCCCGATTTCTGGAACGATGTTGGAAACAGTTTCAAGAACTTGAACCCTTTTGGTTCCGATGATGACGACAGTGCAACTACTACCAAGAATGGAGGTAATGACAGAATCAAGCGTCAAGATGACGACGATGACACGACTACTACGCGCCGGGCTAACAGGCAAGGTCGTTCAACTGTTGTTCGTACCATCTACCAGACCGTCACCGACGGCGCCGTCGCTGCCTCAAGTACCTCCTCCACGAAGCTCATCGTCGCGCCTTCTGCCCTTCCCACCCGCTCCAAGTCTACTACCACCACAGCCGACTCGGGCACTACCATCCAAAGAGCCGGCGGCGCCATCCTCGTGACCCCCGATGCCTCGTCCTCTACTGCCACAAGCGACTCTGCCACGAGCACTCTCCCCTCCGCCATCGAGGAATCCGTCACCGAGAGCATCCCCTCGACTCTAGCCATTGCGACTGACGCGCCCACTCTTGCCCGCTCGACCAGATCCGCGGCCACCGCCAACGAAATCACTGCCGTGTCCAGTGCTTCTGCAACTTCCACCGCCATCAGCGACAAGTCTGCCAGTGAGCCTAGTGGTGCTGCAAAGGCTGGTATTGCCATTGGTGTTTTGGCTGGTGTTCTGGTCGTCTTCCTCCTCGTCTTCTTCCTCTTCAACCGTCGCAAGAAGCAGTTGGAGCAGCAACGTCTGGCTGATGAGGATGAAAAGACTGGTGCCTTTGGAACTGCCGCCGCTGTCACCAGCGGCAACAACACCCGCGCTCCCCGTGTCAGCCTCCGACCCGTCACTCAATTCCTGCCCAACTTGAACCCCGCCGACAAGCGTCAGAGCAATGTCAACGGAAATATGGCTCCCGCCGCTGCCGCTGGTGCTCTTGGCGCCCGCGCTCCTGGCCAGAGTGCTTGGGATAGACCCGCCAATGGCCAGAACGCAAACCCCGTCAACCCCTTCGGATCTGGAGCTGAGAGAATTAACGGCACCATCAAGGAGGAGTCCGTAAGCAACATGAGCCTCAACGAGAAGCCCCTGCCTTCAGTCGCCGCCGATGTCCCTATCGGTACTGCTGTCAGCGAGCCTCCTTCCCCCACCACCAGTTCTATCAACGGAGCCACGATGGCTGCTGGTGCCGCCGGTGCCGTCGCTGTTGCTGGTGGCGCAGTTGCAGCTGGAGCCCTCACTCGCAAGGCTTCCACCCGCAAGGATGGTCCCAAGGCCCTTGATCTTACCATCCCCGCCCCCGCGCCCCTGTCTACCGTCCCCGCCAGCCCTTCTGGTACCGAGTTCAGCGCCAACTCCGCTGGCCCTGGTCACCAGTCCAGCGGCTCCACTGGATCTGCTGCTATCGCCGCCGCTGGTGGACCTGCCAACACGACTGTTCACCGCATCCAACTTGATTTCAAGCCTACTCTCGAGGATGAGATGGAATTGAGAGCTGGCGGCCTCGTGCGTCTCTTGCACGAGTATGATGATGGATGGGTAAGTTTCAATACATTCCGCTGTGCAACAATCACACTAACACATTCTCAGGCGCTCTGCATCCGCTTGGATAGATCCCAACAGGGTGTTGTACCGCGCACCTGCTTGTCTACTCGTCCGGTCAAGCCTAGGCCTCAAGGACCTCCCCGTGGCCCTGGTCCCAATGGCCCTCCTCGCGGTCCCGGCCCCAACGGTCACCCTCGAGGACCCGGTCCTAACGGTCCTCCTCGCGGCCCTGGTCCCAACTACCCTCCCGGTCAGCGCCCAATGACGCCCCAGGGTGGTCCCCACGGCGGACCCCCTTACCCCCGTCCCCAATCGCCTGCCCGCCCCAGAACTGCCGGTGGTCGTCCCCAGTCTCCGGCCGGTAACGGCCCAATGGGACCTGGCGGTCGCCCTCAGTCGCCCGGTCCCCGATTCCAAGGACCTCCTGGACAAAGACCTCAGAGCCCGGGAGGACACGCCCGCAAGCAAAGCCCTCCGGGACCTAGCAAGATTCCCCAGCCCAGCCGAATGGGTCCTCCAGGCCCTCCCGGCCCTCCCATGGGTCCTGTCGGCCGCAAGCCCGTCCCTGGCCAAGCCCCTCCCCCTGGCCAAGCCGCCTAAGTGACAAAAGCACCGTTCATGTACACTGATTCCCTGCGTATATAACGTCTTTTGGCACAAAGACTGGGGATTCATCTTTCACATTTGGCGATAGACTGGGGTCTGCTATGCATTCTGGACAGTACGGCGTTTCTGCGAATCAACAAAAAAGAACTTGGGAAGATTTTGTTTTCTTCTTCCCCGACCGGAATCTCACGACGATTCGACGATGGGAACAAAGACGACATCGACGCGTTGTTTTATACCTTTCGAGTCACTCTCTTACGACACAAACTTTTGATACACCCTTTGCGAGCGCCCAACCACAGGGTCCCGCAACTTCTTTTCTTCTACACTTCTTGTCACTCCTTCAGACACCCGTTCAAAAACCTCCTTCGATTCATATACCGTGCCCGGACTCGATTCAACGCCAGACCGCGAAGGCTGGCGAAAGCAGAGTGCTGGGAAAAGGAAGCGCCTAGTGCTTAATGTATATTGCGCCACTCTTTGTTGTTGTTTTTTCAAACCGCCTTCTCGTTCTTGATTTTCTTGCAGCTCTGGTGGCTGGTGGTCGTCGCAAGCTGGCGACTGTTAGGGTGGAATTTTCCATGCGCGGGATGCGTTGGTCCCCTTCTTTTTTGGATGCCTTTGTGTAATTTGACACGGGGGCATGGGAGGGGGGCAGAATGAACGCACTGCGATGCGGGCGAATGGAGGGGGAAATCGTGTTGCATGTTCCCTCCCTCGATTTACTAGGGCTAGAGCTGCTTCTTGTGTCGAGCAAGATAGGTAGACAATGAGATGCCATACCCTGAAATGCTTTGAGTCGCAATGTGACTTGTCGAATCTAATTGTACAAAGCCGATGATGACTGTAATAACGGGGGTCTGCAAGAGCAGAGTCTTCCCGATACAAGAGAATATTGATCACAATAGTCTTACGGTATGTATGAACAGAACGTAGGTAGGTGAGTTCATGTAGTCCTTGTGCGGAGGTCCTGCGCGGTGAATTCGACATTGTGAAGGAGCTGGGCTGAGACTGCCTGAACTGGGTTGGAATCCATACAGGCAAGCGCACTTCATCCGCACGTAGCTACCTGTCATGCTATCAATACAGAGGCACTGATAGTCTCACTCGATCTCATCTGCCTAGACAATAGAATACGCCAGGTCACCCACACTTGGGGTTGGCCAGAAACTCTAAGCGACGAGGGGGAGGCTGGGAAGTCGACATGGGACTCCATACACACAACCGGAAAAGTAATAACGAAAAGGCCTAGGCTGTACCAGTTGTTCGCAACCGTGGCCATTCATTCTCAGGGCACCCCAATCGTATTTTTGCAAAGGCTGTTCGCTGTCATCTCATTTGAAACAGTCAAATGGCCTTTTGCGCACTGACGACAAAACCTGTTCTTATCTTGGTGTGTAGCCATGTCACGGTGTGAACTACAATATCGACGGCGGAGGGCATATAGGGGATCAAGCAAGACTCACCGTCTAGCAGGCTCGATAGAAGGCCGATGAGCCGGCCCCGAGACGAGACGTTCCACAGCCATTGCTACCTATGATCTTACTCGTTTGACGACTGTCTAAAACTCAGAGACTGGCCAGCTAGATCGCAATAACGCAGTTCGTCTGTGGCAACCACGATGGACAGTAGTATGTTGTCGCGCTTAACTTAAGATTTCTGACTCCAACTGGCTTGAGATCTATATGATTTACCAGTAGAAGGTTGATTAACGGCACACGGGCAGATGGTTGGATAGAGGATACTGCCTATAGTTTACACCGGAACCAATAGGAGCGCGTCGTACACAACAGCTGTTGTTACATTATGACTAACATTCTCTTGTCTTGGCTTGGTTGTGCAATTGATATTAGCCGCCGACTTCTGGCCTCTTGCTCATCCAGGCTGTTTCTACGTTGCAGCCCTGCTGATGTGTATACGTTGATAACATGTCGGACCTGGCCAATTGTGGCTGCTTTTCGGACGGCTTTCGTACGGTCTCCTCCGTCGATCGGAGTAGGCAAGTGCTCTGCTCAGTGGACATGGTTTAGCCGACCGCAAACGGTCTCCTGTCGTCGCCTTCAAGTCGTCATCAGCTGATGAAGGTCAAGCTCAGTCTAAGCATGTGATTGTGGATGCACGTTAACCAGTAATCTCAAATGGCCAAACCGTGGATTGTCATGACACGAAACACATGAACCTCCTTCTAGAATATCAGCATCTCGGTCAACACCATCTGGCTACTGCTGTAGGTTAAATTGGGCGTCCATACAAGACTCGGCGGAACACGCTACCGCACTGGCGCAGGGGATGTCGATGTACACGTATGAAAGGACCGCATTGCGCCTTTATCTCCCTTGGTTTTTGCAAATGCGTCCCGTCTGGAAAAAGCTGGCCGGCGAGTCCGTCGATAACACAAGGTCTTCCCATGGCATGATTCGCAATCGCCGCAATTACACGGCCCTCAATTCGTTGAGTACCATATTTACAAGTACAATTTTCCCCGTCCCATCTCCTTTATGAGTTCTGGATAGCTTGTGACTGCGCCGACTCCTTCTCCTTCTTCGCCGCCTGTTCTCTGTCGTACTCGATCAATTGCTTCGACCAGCTGTGTCACCAGTTGTTAGTCCGTGATCCCCGACTGCTCGTGTGCCATGGCCGAAAGACGTACTATCTGCTGGGGAAGAAGCTGTTCTCCCGAGGCATGACGTAGCGCACCTCCTTCTCGGCGCTGATCCTCCAGATGACGGCGACGGTGCCGAGCATGACGGTGCCGATGATGGCGGTGTTCAGCTTCCAGTTCGCGGGCTGCGCGTACCAGCCACCGGCCGGCGACCAGACGTGCTTAGGGTAACTTTTTAAATCCCAACATGTTAGACAAGAGCTTCGCCTCGATTTCGATGGGGGTTCCGGTCGGTCGCGGGTCGTGGGTGGGAGTGGTTTCGAGGGGTATAACTCACGGAACTTTGGGGCCGCCTCCCTGTGCAGCAGTTAGCAATTGGCGCGTCAGGGTCAATAGGATGAGGGGTTCGTCTTACCATCTTGACTGCTTTTCAACGAGAAGAGGTTGGGGTGGTTCTGGTGATGGCAATCGCTTTCCCGCCTCGACAGGTTTGGTAGCTTTTCGACACAGCCGGGCACTTGACGTTGTAATCTGCGATTCGCTATTCGACCGTTCCTCCACGGTGGAGCTCGTACCGCCCGGAGACGCGGACCCCAGATGTTCCGGGCTTGCAACGGGCTGAGGTGAAGGCGACTGCGTGGCTCGTGCACGGTTCACCCTGGCATTGGGGGGGAATAGAGCTCACACGACTCCAGTCAATTAGACGTCTAGAAACTTTTTCGTGACGGGAGACCGGCGCTGCGAACGAAGGGACGTGGAACTTTTACTCTGTGCGGAACGCCCCTCCATCGACACCCAGCAATCCCAATTGCTCGGCCTCCGTATCACCGAGTTCGACATTGATCGAATTACCTGCTCGATTTTGCCTTTCTTTTGTTCCGTTAACGACCAGCAAAACTCTTCTCCCCACCAAAAAACGACTCCCCGATGAAGAGGTTAAGGATATCAAGATGCACCGGGCAGCTGCTCAACGCCCAGGCCAGGACACATGCCTCGCCGTCCCTGACGCCAATCTCCGTTAGAAGCTCACAGCAACTCGTCCACAACGCCCGCAGTAGCACCTGCGGCGCCAGGTCACTATTCTCGTGGACACGACCCTCCGCTCCGGAAGAAGAAGCAAAAGAAGAAGTCACCGAGGAAGCACCCGAACAGGAGCTCAAGCCGCCGCCCTTCCCGTCACCACTTCCCGAGAAGGCCCTCTCCTCGGCCAAGCTCGCCGCTCTCCACGCCCGTCTTTCCCTCCCCGAGAAGGTACCGCTGCAGACCCTCGCCCGCTGCCTCGTCGACCCCTCGGCGGACCCGAGCCCCAACTTCAACAACGTCAACCTCGCCGTCGTCGGCGCCTCCCTCATCAACTACCACACCTCCGAGCGTCTCGTCTGCCAATACCCTCGTCTACCCATGACCATCCTCTTCGAGGCCATGCGCGCCTACGCCGGCTCCGACTCGCTCTACCGCATCGCCCACGGCTGGGGCGTCGAGAACACCATCCACCCGGGCGACGAGGTCGACCCGGGCCTGCTGCAGTGGTCCCAGGAACTCCCCACCGTCGGCATCACGGGCGCCTGGGGCTACGAGCGTAAGGAGGCCCACCACCTTGACAAGTTCAAGTGGCGCCGCGGAGTGTCCTCGCGTGTCGTCCTCGACGACGAGTTCGGCGACACCGTGCACACCAAGCGGGCGGAACCCCCGAAGGAGCCGAAGTCGAGCAGCCCCGAGGAGTTCCTCGAGGACCCGGCCATCGTCCGCGAGCGGTGGATGCGCATCCGCAACAACGCGCATGCGGCGTTCGTGCGGGCCGTCACGGGCGCCATCTACGCGCACTGCGGCCGCGACGCCGTACGCTCCTTTGTCGACGCCCACGTGCTCAGCCGCAAGGTCGACCTCGAGCGGCTCTTCAGCTTCAAGCTGCCGACGCGGGAGCTGGCGATGCTATGCGCGCGCGAGGGCTTCGAGCCGCCCGTGGCGCGCCTCGAGAGCGAGACGGGCCGTCTGAGCAGGACGCCCGTGTATGTCGTCGGCATCTACAGCGGAGCCGACAAGCTCGGCGAGGGGGCCGGCGCCAGCCTGACCAACGCGCGGCTGCAGGCGTCCATGAACGCGCTCAAGTCGTGGTACCTGTACAGCCCCGGCAACAACGTGCGGGTGCCGAGTGATATGCTCGTTGAGGGGGCGAAGCCGTGGCAGCCTGTGCATATTGACATGGGTGAGATTATTTAGAGAGAGGAAGAGAGGATGGGTGTTGGGGGGAGGAAGAAGCGGTAGACGAAAAGCATCATGTGTAATTGCCCATGGGATGAGGACGAAGGATGAGAAGGACTGCCTTGGCGCGGCGGATGGGTGATGACCGGGACACCGAATGCCGTCTGGCAGTGTACATTTTTGAACAAGGACATGTGGAAAAAAAGGTTACGCATGTCTCTGTAAGATGAATAGATCTGTAAAAACAATGACACACTCCTCGAAACGGGGCGACTTTTGAGTCAAGACTGCACAAATTGAAGATGTTGAAGAGATGACCACGCTGAATTGAACAAGACGTAAAGAGCTCGATGAGTTGGTGAATCTGATCATTAAGACAGCTGGCTATTCTGACAGTATTACAAACGAAGTACACTCCTATTCACACAAGGCTCCCTCTCTTTTCCCCGGGTATCAACTCTCCCCCTTTACCAAAAAAACTCCAGTGGCGAAGCTGCTCAACTAAACTGATCTCCCTCTCCCAACTTGTGCGCCATGCCCCTCTGCACCAGTCTCCTGTACCTGTCCTTCTTCGCCTTCTCCTCCCGCTCCAGCCTGAGCTTCCTCTTGCGCTCGTAGACCGCCCTTACCGTGCCGCGGATCTGCTCCCGCCCCTCGGCGTAGTTGGCCCGCGCCAGCGCGACGACGTTGTCGATCTGCTCGGGCGTGTAGACAAAGTTCCACGTGCTGAGGTAGTCCGTCGTGCCCGGGTTGATCCCCGGGACTTTCGGGTTGGCCAGGAAGGGTAGGTAGACGATGGCGATGCCGGCGTCGGGCTCCATCAGCTGCCACGAGGAGCGCTCGTCGATGGCCTTGGACGGCGGCGGCGGCTTCGAGGACCGCTCCTGCGTGGTGCCGACCCAAACGGTGCAGTAGCCCAGCTCGCCGGATTCCTGGTCGCCCGGGGTGAACTTGACTGCCTGGCCCTTGGCGGTGTCCTCGTCGGGCGTCGGGTGCGGGTGCTCGGCCTGGTGGTCGATCTGGTGCTGCTGGGCGTCGTGGAGCTTGCGGTCCGCCTCGGTGGAGGACGCGGCCTCGGCCTTCCTGAGCTCGTCGTCGACCTGCTTGGGGGACTCGCCTGCCTTCGGCCAGCCGACGCCGACGGGCCAGCCCTTGATGCCGCGCTGGCGGGCGTAGCCGTCGGCGACGGCGAGCCAGTTGTCCGTCTTCATATCGGCGGAGGCGTCGAAAGCGACGAGGACGTCGACGTCGCGGCCGGGGCGGAGGAGCGGATAGATGGGGAGGTTGTTGGACATGCCGGCGTCCATGAGCTGGATGTACTCGGTGCCGAAGATGCTCTTCGGCGCGGTCTTGGGCAGCTTGCCCTCCATGCCGTACGCGAAGTTGGCGACCGTGCCGGGGTCGATGGGGTGGACCTTGCTGAGGTCCTCGTTGTAGCCATAGATCATCTCGTCGAGGGTGCCGAAGCCGGTGAGGCTCTGGACGAGGGGCCTGATTTCGTGGTAGTAGTGGCTGAGGGTCGCGCAGAAGGCGCTGCCGAAGACCCCGAGGAGGAACGGCATGCGGGTCTCGGGCAGGTGGAAGCCCTCCTCGGGGGGCACGTCGACGCCGTTGTCGAAGCGGCGGCCCATGGCCCAGGTGGGGATGCCGGCGGAGAACTCCTCGCAGAAGAACTCGTAGGGCGTGATCTCGAACCACTGGAACCAGGCCTCCTTCTTTGCAACCTCCTTGGCTGCCTCCGAGGTGGCGGGGGCGCCTACGGCGCCGTCAACGTCGACGTCTGGGATTTCGTGGCGGACGGCCGTGTAGATGGGCAGCGGGTTCTGCCCGTACTTGATGTACTCCCTCTGGTTGGAGAGTTTGAAGTCCCGGTCGTTCACTTCGAGGTCGCCTCTGGGGACGAGGTACCTTGCCGCCAACAGTAAGCCGTAAACGTCGACGAGGCCAAAGTCGGCGTTCGGATCACCCTTCAGCTTCTCGACGAGGCCGCTAAGGAGGTATTTGCTCGTCGGCGCAGACAGGAGAGTCTGGAAGGCGACAGGCGGGTAGGCGATGTGGATGCCCGCCCGGGCCTTGAGATGCTGCAGGACGCGGCCGAGGCTGCCGTGCGAGATGGACGAGTGGTACAGCGTCTGGAGCCAGCAGGAGCCGCTGACACCAGATGTGTAAGTAACGCAGTCGAAGAGTCCGTCCTCATCGGCAGCGAGCATGGATCCTGTGCCGGCGACGAGGGCTCTCAGCCCGCCGCCTGAGCCGCACATGGCGATGGTGGGGACGTCTTCGGGGTGGACGTCCTTCTCGTCAATGTCGAGATACTTGGCCAAGGCCATTGTCGTGACCATCTTTCTCCTCGACAAAAACTCCTTCTCCTCATCGCAGAGGTCGTTGGACACCCTCACCCGGGCGCTGTACTGCACCTCGGGGTTGATGAAGGGATCATGAGCCTCTTGCCAAATCTCATCAGCGAGAGAACCGGGTGACATGGACAGCTTGGATACAATCAGCATACTTTTCCCGTTCAAAACCCGGACCATTCACTCACCTCTCTCTGGAGTTTCCGGATATAGCCGGGTACTCCCTTGGACCATTCCGGGAGGATGAACCCAACAATTTTGTCAGCGGTCCACTCGACGTCGGTGGCATCGGACAGGTTCTCAAACTTGAGCGCAAAGTTGTACCACGCCGACTCGTTCGCCTTCTTCTGCTCCGGCGAGCCGCCGCGCGCGGCGGCGCTCTGCTGGTCCGTCGGCGCGATCGATAGGCGCTGAAAGTCGTCAGACGGGTACAGCCACCAAACAAAAAGCCCGCCAGTGAGCACGGCGACGGGGAGAGAGGTGGTAGCTGCCTTTTTCTTGCCGTTGTTGCCGTTGCTGCCGGATCCCTCGGGGCCCTTGTCGCTGGCCGTGAAGAAGCCGTGCTGCGACTGCAGCGTGGGCCTCCGGCGGGGGAGGAGGTCGTGTGTCCTGATGCGGCCGACGGTAACGTGGTGGAAGCTCCTCATCTTGCCGGCCGCCGACGGCGCTGCGGGTGCGCGGCGGAGGAGCAGGGCGGCGGCGTGTTGGCGGGAATACGCCGTGAATAACCTCATCTTGGCGATCTTGGGTTCGTCGGGTTGAGGCTGGAGATCTGTAACATGACTGGCCGGACGGGCCCTGGCGGTCGTGGGTGTTGGTTGGAGATCAGCAATTGGCGCGGGGAGAAAAGATTGGTGTGGTGTTGAGAGTGTGGTGCTGGTTCAATACCAGAGCTGTGGAAATGGGCTCTACGGCTGCGGCGGGATTTTCATGTTTTTCTTTGGTATCAAGAGTTTTGTTTTTGTCGCAATGAGAGAATTATAAAAAAAACCCTTTGAAGAAAGGCGCGCGGCCAGCGACGAGGCGCGAGGCTGTGAACTCAACAACTTCTCTGCTGACCCTGGTCTGCTGTTGACATCATTGAGGCATGATTGAAATCGGTGGATCAGAAGCAAGGACAGGCAAGGGGGTCTGAAGGTTGCGGACCTGTTGATCGGATGGGATTAAGACGATACCTGTGCCCACCGGGAGTCCGTCGTGTGCAGCGCAAGTCCCGCGCTATGACAGGGAAATCTCCACCGTCCGTTGAGAATGCTCCGGAAGGCTTGATTCGCCAATTACATTGGTGGACCTGAACGTCCGCTGCGCACCGCTGTGGCCCAGCTTGTGGAGCCTGCGACCTGTCGCCCGACCCTCTGTCACCTTCTGCCATGTGACGATGACGGGCCTCAACTGTCATCGTCACGGCGCGCTGCGTGTCTGAGCCTACCATGCAGTAGAAGCACGCAGAATCTGCAGATGACTTCGCAACTGATCATTGGGAAGAACAAGCAGACTTCTGTTATTGTTGTCAACCAAGGGCTAACCGTGGGCCAACATGGGATGTCAAAGAGCTGCCATCTTAGCTGTGGCCCAACTGGCGATCTGCTTCATCGGACGAACCGGACCCAAGCTTCTCACCGGCTCAAAAAAATGAGTCTCGGAATTGCAGCAGAATTGTAGATACTCAACTGGATATTCTGAAGCCCATAGCTCCTTTGTCGCATTCACGTAGTAGCCCTTCTGCTTCCATTTACAGGTAATGTTGCCGCCGCAGGATTAACTTCTGCCGTTGCAAGTAGCCCGAGCTTAAATATCAATGTCAAGCACAAAATTCTGGCGACCAGAATGAAATGCAGCTAAATGGGGAGAACGGAGCGTGTTGGACGTGCCGTGTAACGTTGGAGGCATCAGAACTCAACGACAGCCCTGGATTTCAACCCCGCTTCCGAATGCTCTCACCCAAGCACTCGTCCGAAGCTTTATCTACGTATGGCTACCCATGAGGTGACAGATCAACTCTGTTCAATTTTTCGCTCTGGGATTCCGGTGCGCTGAGCCTCACTTCATTGAATTCAGCGACGGCGGTGCCTACCCAGACACCCGGGATGAGCTAGTCTCGGGAGCCGCCCACCGGCCCAACTTGCCACACCGAGTGCTGACGCTTATACTTAAAATCCCCCGACGACGAGGCTTCTTTCATTTTAACGTTGCAGTTGGAATTGCGTTCATATCCAACAGCAACAACATAAATCTGTTCCCTGCATCAAAACGTCTGTGGGGATATTCCAAGTTCACCATGTCCCGAGGAACGGTTGCCGTCATTGGCGCAGGTGCGTGGTCCTCCCCAGCCGGAAAGAAGACTCGTGCCCGGACTGATATCCGAGCCAAACAGGACCGGGAGGTCTTTCTGCCCTGAAAGAGCTTCGCGAGGTCGGCTTCGACGTGACGCTGTTCGAGAAGCGGTCTGATGTGGGCGGCTTGTGGACGTTCTCGGACGACCCGTCCGTCACCTCGGCGATGGCGTGTAAGTGCAAACCACACATCGAATATGTCGAGATTGATCAGGCTGACCGAGTCCAGGGACAAAGTCGCAAATTAGCAAATTCATAGTCAGTTCGGAAGATAGAACATCCTTGCTGGCGTTGACGTGCAGCTAATGAAGGCATGCAGTCGTACATGTCCGACTTTCCGTTTCCTGACCGTAAGTCTATTCGTCTTGGTCAGCTTTGTCTCCCGGATTCTGACGGCGGCGTAGACTATCCTGCCCACATCTCGGCGCAAGAGTGGTCTGACTACTACAAGATGTATGCCAAAAACTTTGAGCTTTACGATAACATCGTTTTCAACGCGGATGTAGACTTGATCCAGAGGAACCAGGAGAAAGGCAAGTGGGTGGTGCACATCAAAGGCGAAGCGACGCCGCGGCCATTTGACAGAGTTGTGCTTGCTAGTGGGTCGGAGACAACGCCGGTATATCCAGTTATTGAGAATCTGGACCAGTTCGAGGGGAAGTTCATGCACTCTCAAGCCTACAAAGGGTAAGTAGGCCCGGTTTGAAAAGTGCCGGGAATTGGCTAATATCACGAACAGGCCAGAGGGGCTCAAAGACAAGAATGTGATCGTCATGGGCATTGGGAATACGGCTTGTGATACTGTCGTGGTGAGTATGCGCCCCTGTTGGCTGATCCAACTTCACTTGTTTATGCGATCACCAGGAACTCGCAGACTACGCCTCGAAAGTGTATCTGTCACACAGACGAGGTGCGAAAATAATTCCTCGCATGAATCAGGACGGCCCTCTAGATGCTGTGATGTCGTGGCGTACTTCTCGTTTCGGCCACTGGTTGGAGCACTTCCTCCCGGGTATATTTAGTCTCCTTACCGAGTCTGTCATCAAGAAGAATTCCATGATCCTCGGGAAACAGGATCCAGGCTGGGGGTTCGAGCCGTCGCCCAGTCTGAAACTCAGCCTCAGCGTCATTGTGGTCAACGATGATCTGTTCTCGCGTCTTCGAGAAGGCCGTGCCGAGTCGGTTCGGGGGTTGACGCGCATCGTGGGACCGAATTCCGTCCAGCTGGACGACGGGAGGATCATCGAGGATGTGGACGTCATCGTCGCGGCTACCGGGTACCGGCCGGATTTCTCACTTCTGCCGGATTTATCCCACACCCCGGCCCCGGATCCGAAGGCCCCGCCCCTCCCGAATCTGTACCAAAACATCTTTGCCATCGACTACCCGGATTCTCTCGCTTGCGTGAGCTACTGCACTGTCGGCGACAATGCGGCATCGTACCGTGAGCTCCAGGCAATGGCTATCGCACAGGTATGGGTGGGCAACTCTTCGTTGCCGTCCAAGGCGGAGATGCGCCGCAGCACCGCAGCGTACCAAAAGTGGACTTGGAAAAGGTTTCGAGCCTTTGCTGGAGCGCCCCTCGGGTCTGGCCAGCAGTATCCGTGGTTCAGATTCGTCCACGAGATGGCAGGCACTGGTATGCATGAGTACCTGGGCTGGGGTTGGAAAGGGTGGCAGTTCTGGTGGCAGGACCGGAAGTTCTACCGGCTGGTAGCGTGGGGGGCTTATTCGCCGCATATCTACCGCCTCTTCGAGACGGGCAAGCGGAAGACGTGGCCGGGAGCAAGGGAGGCCATCATTAAAGTCAACGAGGATAGAGACAAGATGTTTCCAAAGAAAGACAAGAAAAAGACGGCTTGATCGAGGTTTGAAGGAACGGCTTGCCAGGGGCGAAACAAAATGGTGCGGGATTGATTGGTGTTTGCGAGCGTGCCAACCAACCAAACATATATCTTGGAATTTTTTTGGTCGTGTTTGCTTCTTGTCTGTCGCGGGCAGATTTGCGCCAATGCGGTCGACGGGCTGACGAAACAGACGCAAGGTGTTTGGGCGAGACAGTGAGACCCGAGACACGGCAAAGCGGGCTGCCAGACCTGCATCAGGTTTCTTATCTGGCTTGATCCTGCAGTCTGGTCTGTCGACTTGCGATTGCAGGACCAGCTGGACTAATGTACTTGTATACTGAGTGAGTACGCAAATCATAGACGAAGCAACCACTATCGTCTCGAGACGTAGGATCTGCTCGGCCAATGACACGCCACTTGGCACGATGGAGGAGCATTCCCGTCGCAAGAAACAGGGAAACGTCGTCGCCAGCACTACCTCGTACATGCAAGTGTCAACGATTGCAGTTCCTTCGTATGGGCAGCGTGATAGGTGTGTAAGGCCATGATGTGGATGGCTAACAGTGGCTGCGCATCGGTGCACTGGGGAGCCGTTCCGTGCAGCTAGCGGCGGGGATCAGTCTTCGGCAGACGTCGTGTGCTGTGTTGGTATTTTTGGAGACACGACTGACTGGCAAGTCCCGATGGGAGGAGACCCCCGACGGGAAGCAGAGGCAGGCTTGACCGGGCTGGCTTGTTGGCTGGCCTGGCAGCTGGCGGAAGGGCTCCTGTTGGTGTGGTCGCGATCCAGGGACTGCTCCTGCAGGCACACGGGGGTTTCCTGCAAGTAAAAGTGGCCAAGCAGATGAAGGGGTGTGAAGACCTGATGTGAATGAAGCTTGCAGCATATCAGAGGAGCCAATGGAGCCGGGGGTGTCAGGAAGTGGCTTGTGCGTCGGGACCAACATTTTCCCGTTCCTGCCTAGCTGAAGCCCGGATCCACCGCCAACCGGGAGCCGGCTCTCGCTTAAGGGTACGTCCCGCGATGCCAAAGAGGTCCCCTTCGTGTTGGGGCGGCTGCCTGAGGCGCATTGAGACGACGGGCAATTTGTCAAAAAAAATTGTGTGAGGGACTTGAAGGCATTGGCGGGCATGGGGTTGACGGTTGACGGGTCGAAAAAGAGCAGAATATCTGCAATTGATGGTGACTTGTCGCTTGTGACCGACGTCCGACCGTTTCCATTTCCCGCGTCTCCATTACACCCAAGCAGAATCTCAATTGCACCGGGCACCTCAGTCCACAGGTGCATCCCGTGTCCACAGCCCACTCTCAGTTGGGTATCCATATTGTGAATCCACGGTGGTCCCGGCGCAGGCGCTGGTGTCGCTGTTTCTTCGTCCCATGGATCATGGTTGAGACGTGGAAATTGGAGGTCGGTTTGATGCTTTCCTGGCTCTCAATGCGACCAGACGCCACATTCACGAACGCCTAATCAGAGCGCGTCTGCTGCCACACGCCAGCAGAACATGCTACCTGCCTTACTAACATTGAGGCGACTTAACTTCCAGAGGCACTCAAGGTAGGTAGGTGGGCAGCGGGATTCCGTAATGGCGGCGGCCAGAGGCATTCGTCAAAGAGTACAGCAGAGTTAGCCAGCAGCTGGGCCGTCTCATTTTCGTCCCATTCCCAAAGCCCGAATACGTAAGTTTGCAGCTTGCTCGCATTGTTGACAGTACCTTAAAGGCAAGGACTTTATGCACATCGGCCACCAATGCACATGGGACACAGCACAGAAGGCGGCTCTGAAAAACTCAACCGGTGCTTGTCGTTTCACCCTGACGGTTCACCTGTCATTGTTGCAAGCCATCACGGACACCTGCGAATTGACTTGTTGGGTATCCGTACGCAGCTGGCAGAGCCCAGAGGGTATCCGTACGTCGTCCGTAGAGAGAGGCTAAAGCCTAGGCTGCCCAAACGCCCCAGATTGTTTCTTCCGTTGGCCCCCATTGCCGGCAAACACTATGAGAGTGGAGCAGACATGCTGGTAAGGCCATGCCGTGTACGAATTCGGAGCAGGATTAGATTATCGCGTAGTCCGCCGCCCAAGCACAGGCATGATGAAGGGGTCCTCAGCTGCCTTCCAGGTAAGGTAACTAACTGATGGCTGCCTATGGGAAGAGGGAGCATCTAGAACGACAAGTCGGGTCTTCCGTTGAACAACCGTTACTTTTGTCCGTCTGCTATGTGATCTGTGAACCATCTGTGAACCACGGGGCCAACCGAGCAAATCTCCCCCGTCCTCATGAAATTCGAGTCGGTCGTCCCCAATCTCCAAGGGCCTCCTTTTGGCGGTTTTTTTTTTCCTGATGCTTCATTACGACCTCCACTCGTGAGCCAATCAGAGGCTTTCAATGAAGGCAGCCCCGGTCTCTAATTCTCTTTCTCCATCCAATACCCCTGCCACCTACCCCACCCAAGCCAAGCTAGCCAGACTGGGATTAGAACAGCTCAACCCCCTTTTGCTCCCAGCGTGAAGGGAGCAGCAACGTGCTCGTCGACCACGCAGCGGCCAGCAGCAGGCCACCCTCCCAACCTTTACAGCACATGCTGGTCCCTGTACACAGACGATGCCACTGGGAACAGAAGGGCAGCTCGCTGCAGCATCCGCGCTGCCAGCACCACCTCATGCAGCGAACGGGAGCCGAAGCACAGGTGCAGCGGTCCAAGGTCCCCAGGTAGGTACCTAGGTAGTGGCGGCGGCAGCAGCAGCAGCAGCAGCGTGAACGGGAAGAGGACCGGGAAGGAAAGGGAAGGGACGCTGCACCTGCTCTGCACTGTCTGCCACCGTGGGAGAAACGGGACGGGGTCGCACCGCACAGCCCAAATCTTTCCTGTCCCCGTCGCACCCCAAATTTCCCCTTCCACCTAAAACGTAGTCGTACCTTCGTCGTCCTACCTTACCTGACCGACCTACTCTACCTAACCTCACACCTTTCGCAACCACCACACTCTCTCTCCCTGAGGTTGTGATTCTTCCCTTCCCCTTCGACATCATCGATACTGCTTCGAGCATCGTCAGTATCTCTTCCCTCAGGGCACGAGAAATTTCCACCCCAATTGTCCTTTGCAGTCCATCGCCATCACCTGACGTTGCTGCCCCCTTTCTCTCGTTAACCTTTTCCCCTTCTGCGACACTCCTTGACACGCGACTACTTCGTAGACGTCCAGGTACGTACGTGTTTCCTTCACGATTTCTCTGCGAATACCTCCTGCCATGAATTACGAGGCAGGATAATATCCTATTTCATCACCCCATCTCTCCTGTTCGCGCCATTCCTTCGACCTCCTGGCTTGATCTTGCTGCCGCGCGGTCTGCTCCTGACGTCCTTCTGCCTCCGATCATGCTCCTCCCTGTCCACTTCACCTCCTTACTCGATCTTTGTTTCCCCCGAGCCTCTTCCATCTTTGCGGCATAGCTAACTCTTTCTTCCGCTCCCCAGACTTTTCTTCTCGACCAATTCCTTCTCAACCTTGACTGCTCCCCGCGTATTCGATATGGGTAAGCCCCCTTCCTTCCCGGAGACGAAGATTGTGAGACTATGGCAAGGCGAGGCAAGAGGGCACTGGATCCATCTGCGGCAAGCGACGACCACATGGCCTCGTTGGACTGTTTCTACCTCCCGCTCCGGATCGATCGAGTTTCAGGATCGATCTCTCAACAACATCACCTCACTTCTCTTTACCCGACCACATTCGTTCCACCATCTACCATTTCTTGGTTTCCCCTTTTTTGGTCCTTTATTGGTAGACCAGAGATATCAACCTGCCCTACTCCGAGTACCCAAACAAAACGACATACACATTGGCCAACAATTCGGACAATCCCTCCAAGGACCGCAAGGGCAAGGGCAAGACCGTTGGGTGGAGAGATAAGGACGCCGATTTCACAATGAAAATCAAACAGCAGTCAAAAGCAGGGTCGTCTCCCACTACGCAATTTCAAATCATTCGGTCCATGCTCGACGTGGGTAAACCCAACAGCGACGGACAGCCCGGTCCGTCGTCTGCTAGTCGGCTTTCACAACCTGGCAAAGAGAACGACGATCCCGCCAGACACGTCTCTGAACGGCCACCGGGTTAGAGAAGATCCTCTTGCCTATGCCTTGCCAAACATACTTACCACTCGTTACTACGGTACGAGCATGAGCGCTGACATGATTGCGTAAATAGCCTCCGAAGGTTCTCCTGCTACCTCCCCGCCGCCCTCGGCGGCGCCGGCGTCGCCCCCCGCCGGCAAGCTTGTTTCTGCGAACGAGATCGAAGAAGCCATTTCTAACGCGTCCTTAGCTGGCGGTGTTGTGCCCCCTATGGCGGCGCCTTCCAGCGATCTTAGGAACATTGTTCGCCGCAAGCTGACGGGCTATGTCGGCTTCGCTAACCTGCCTAACCAATGGCACCGCAAGAGTGTCCGCAAGGGTTTCAACTTCAACGTCATGGTTGTTGGTAAGTCTCTTCTAGACAGCTTCGTTTTGTCTTGAACACTCTCTTACAAGTGGCGTACAGGTGAATCTGGCCTCGGAAAGTCCACTCTGGTGAACACCCTCTTCAACACTTCCCTCTACCCTCCCAAGGAGCGCAAGGGACCTAGCCTCGACATTATCCCGAAGACTGTTACCATTCAGTCCATCAGCGCCGACATTGAGGAGGCCGGCGTCCGCCTCCGTCTGACCGTCGTCGACACCCCCGGCTTTGGCGACTTTGTCAACAACGACGAGTCGTGGCGTCCCATTGTCGACAACATCGAGCAGCGTTACGACGCATACCTCGACGCCGAGAACAAGGTCAACCGCATGAACATCGTTGACAACCGCATCCATGCCTGTGTCTTCTTCATCCAGCCCACTGGCCACTCCCTGAAGCCTCTCGACATTGAGGTCATGCGTCGCCTTCACACCAAGGTCAACCTGATCCCCGTCATTGCTAAGGCTGACACCCTCACCGACGAGGAGATTGCCAACTTTAAGTCCAGAGTATGTCCCATTCAATTCCCCCCTAAAGCTCAAAATCTAACCCCTCCAGATTCTGTCCGACATCAAGTACCACGGTATCCAGATTTTCGAGGGCCCTCGCTACGAGCTCGATGATGAGGAGACCATTGCTGAGAACAACGAGATCATGTCCAAGGTCCCGTTCGCTGTTGTCGGTGCTACCAACGAGATCACCAACGCGGATGGACGCAAGGTTCGCGGCCGTTCATACCCCTGGGGTGTGATTGAGGTCGACAACGAGGAGCACTGCGACTTCGTCAAGCTTCGCCAGATGCTTATCCGCACCCACATGGAGGAGCTCAAGGAGCACACCAACAACAGCCTGTACGAGAACTACCGTACCGACAAGCTCATTGGAATGGGCGTGTCCCAGGACCCCAGCGTTTTCAAGGAGGTCAACCCCGCTGTCAAGCAGGAGGAGGAGCGCCACCTGCACGAGCAGAAGCTCGCCAAGATGGAGGCCGAGATGAAGATGGTCTTCCAGCAGAAGGTCGCCGAAAAGGAGAGCAAGCTGAAGCAGAGCGAAGAGGAGCTCTACTCGCGCCACAGGGAGATGAAGGAGCAGCTCGAGCGCCAACGCATGGAGCTCGAGGAGAAGAAGCAAAGGGTCGAAAGCGGCCGGCCCATCGAGAAGGAAGGCAAGCGGAAGGGTTTCTCGCTCCGCTAAGACTTCTTTGCCGGTCTCTTGACGCCACTTGTTCGCATTCTTCTTTCTACGACCCATGTCTAAGTACCCATGATGCCCATACAATACCAGCACAACGCGCCTCTTTGTCGGTTCTCTTCTTGTTCTTTCTTATCACCCCTTTTTCTCTCGACCTCTTTTAATCACAACCCTCATCTAATCACTTACGGAAACCCAACATCACCCAAAAGTCTTTGCGAAGCAGTCGTGCAAGGGGTTTTGATGCCGACTAGGAGGGAAAGACGCGAAAGCAAACACGAGGAGTCATTGCTTCTGCGAGGCTTGATTCTGGCGATGAGGCGTTCTCGGGAACAGTAGTCCTACTTGCCGCATCCTATCATACTGTGGCGGACATGGGAGAGGAGGACCTCGGGGAGAAACATGGGGTCGGTTGGGCGAACACATTTGCGCTAGCAGAGTATCCTCGTGGTTTCATTTCTTTCGCAAAGACTTGCCACTCGGAATAGGGTTTTCTTATAATCTATGACGCCACGCTCAATACTCTTGCCGCCTTCTGGTGTCGAACCAGCTAATATCTCTCGCTGTGGACGCACAATGTGGTGAGTGGGTAGAGGCACACGCTGGATGGAGGAGCCCACTTATGTCTAGCAAATTTACCCCTTGATGTTGTATTTTACTCGGATGAGGTCATGGAGAGGGAGGGGTAGGAGACGGTCTGGCATGACAGGCGTCTTCACTTACTTGGCATTTGATTTCCTTGACGTCTACTCTCTTTGTTAGCTTAGTTCCTGTGTGGTTCAAAAAGGGTTGTTTCCCAAAATTTGTCTATCTTGCTGTCTCTATCGTCGTGATTCCTAAACCCTTCCAGGTCATTTAGCAATACTAGGGTTAGTATTGTCAAGACGCTCTCCTCGCGTCCTTCCTGGCCTGTGCCTGATGTCTCGTAGTTGACGTTCGTTGCCTTCCAACCAGCCTAAGAAAACCGTAGACCCTAAGTGCGATGAACATCTAGGGCAAATACATTTAGCTGGGCGGAGAGTATTTCGACTACTATGGCGCCTGTATTCCCGGTGTCTCTACTCTCGTCTGTACCCTCGTGATCTTTATTATCGTCGTCTCTGCCAACGCCGTCTTTCTACCATTTCTTTTACTACCTGACGTCTGGAAACTTCTCGTTGCAGGACATGAAAGTTTCAGGCAAAATGGGCGGTGTCTATGCTAGAAACGAATACTGGTGTTTACCATCCTTTGCAGAGTATGTTGACGACGACCAACACATCCCAAGTAGCACGCACATGGGCAGAAATGTGGGGGCGGGCCTGGAAGCAAAGGCAGGCAACGAGCAACGTGGAGAAGGGCAGAGTCTTTCATTTCCTCTACCAAAGATGATGTACATATAAGACTACGTCTAAGCCTTTACATTCGCGTCGTAGAAGCTTGGGGTCTATATCCTGTTGTACAATGCCGCCTGGACCCCTCCTCAGGGGCGAATGCTACCACCACGTCCTTCATCCACCAACCAAACATCATTAACAAAGCGTCTACCGCCTCCTCAAGTACCAGTTAAAGGCGAGCTGGTTTGTCTCGTAAGAGAAGGGTGTGGGCACTTCGGCGAAACCACGACGGGCGACGGGGTGGCGGAGGTAGACGGCGGCGCAGATGTTCTGGTTCACCTCGAGGTAGCGAGGGATGAAGGCGAAGGGGGCCATGTAGCGGCGGGGTTCCCAGGGGGTCCAGTACGGCTTGGACTCGTCGATGGGGTTCTCGGCGTTGGTGCGGAGCAGGCTTGCGAGAGCCGTCTGCTCGGCCAGGGACAGGCCCTTGACAGCCTGGCGCACCTCGTCGCTGGTGATGAGCTCCTTGATGGTGTCCCTGGTCTCTTGTTTCTTGGCGCTGACCTTTTGCTCCGCCTTCTCTGACTCTTGTTGTTCCTGCTGCTGCTGCTCCTGCTCAGGGGAAATGATGGCCTCGACCTGGTTGCCCTCCAGCTTGAAGTCCTTGAGCATGGAGGAGAGGTGGTCAATGACGTTGTCGGGGCTGATGGTGGCACTCTCGGCGGTGCGGCCGGCCTGGGAGAGGGCGCGCTTGACCTCGCTCGTGAAGGCACGGAGCTGGCGCTTCTTGCGAGGGTTGAGGCCATTCCCGTCGTAGAGGAGTGCCTTGGCGGAGCTGATGAGGGCCTTAAGCTGCTTCTTCTGCTGCGCGGCGCGCTGCTCCTCAGTGAGCTCCTCTGTGGCCTCGGCTACCTCGCCCTCACCCTCTGCTTCCTCGCCCTCGTCCTTGGCTGCAGACTCAGCCTCGACTTTCTCTTCGGAGGCCTCGGCTTCGGTCTCAGCCGGGGCCTCAGCAGCTGCTTCTGAGCTGTTGCTCTTGTTACGGTATTCCTCCCTCTTTGCAGCCCGGAGAGTTTCATAGTCTTCGCCGGCGAGCCACTTTGCGTGTAAGGGGGTCTTGGGTCGGCCAGTGGCATAGAGAACGGAGTCTACGTCGACTTGGAACATGTCGCCTGGGTTCAGGAGGTAAGCACCATAGCGCATCTGAAAAGAGGGGCGGTGTTAGTCGTCGTCAAGGCCGAGTCGAGTGTGTGCAACGCGACTGGAAAAGCTTACCGTCTTGCCGTTGACCTTGACGGCGCCGTGTGTGCAGAACTGCTTCGCCTGGAGGGTACTGCTGGCGAACATGGCACGGAAGATGGCCACGTCTAGTCTCCTCTCGAGCGGCGCAAACGCCATTTGCATGTAGGGCGTCATATGCCTAACGGGTCTGCCTAGGAGTTCTGAGAAGTCGTCCCTCTTGGCCAGCCTGGGGTGGACATAAGGAAGCTTGTCCTCTCTGTCTGAGATGATGCGCTGTTTGCGCTCCTTCTCGGAGCGGGAGAACGAGCCGGCGTTGATATCCAGGTCTTTGCGGCCGGAACCGCGGCCGCCAGCCTGTTCGGAGCCGTCGTACTTGGCGAGGTAGGCCGGGGGCATGTCAACGGCAGAGTAAAGGCGGCGAGAGAACATGCGAGACCAGTCGGACTCCTTGATGTTGGCGCCGTGGTAGCCTCGGGTGAGTGACTTGGCCGCCCATTTTTGCTGGAAATGAGTTTGCTTAAAGCGAAAAGGTTTGAGCCTTGTCATCAGCATGTTGAATAGGTTGTATTTGTTCCATGACTGGCGGACTTTCTGGCGGTAGAATAGTGGTCAGCGGTTTTTGTTTACAGCCAGGGTGTTGTGTGCGGCGTGGTATAGATAGAAGCATCGCATGAGGTAGAGGTCGAGGAGGGCGGCCTCGCAAGTTGTGTGGGTGCTTCAATTGACGCTCGTGCGAGGGGAAAGATGGTTTGTTCGGGGGCATACCATGGACTGAAGGCTGTACCACCTCGGCTTTCTTGCTCTCATCTTGGGCTAATTGTGGTGTCGACGGGGACGTGATCGCACTCGTAGGGCCGGAGGGATGGCGACAGCTTCAGGAGCACGAGACGTCGAGACCGAATTTTTGGTGATGGAACGGCATCTCCCGCACACAAGAAATCGGTACGTACCGTACATCCCACAACGCGCGCTTGAGGGGTGGAAAGCTCTCGTTGGCTTACCTAAGGCAGCAGCAAAGTCTTGGGCTGTGTTTGGAGCAAGAGTTCCCGGATGGGGTGGTCCTGGTACGTACCGCGCCTCTCGCGATTCACCCTTCGCCTGCCACCCGTGTGGTCAATTTTTTCAGTCTCCCCACCTCACCAAGTGGGACTTGCTGCGGGCGGTGTGCATCGAATGCGCGCAACCTGCTGCGGCAGAAACTGGAGCTGTTGCTCGTGCATGCGAATTCTCGTCGCAAAATCCTCGCTGGGGAAACGGCCTGCTCTCTACTTTCTCGCGCTGCCAAATAAAATCCACACGAGAAACGAAGCAACTTTTCTTCAGCAACACAGCCTTGTTTCTCTCACTCACCCACGTCTCGAACCACGGTCGCCGAATCGCATTGGTCCGATTCTTAAACTGTAAGCTTTCTTTTTCTCCTGTCTCCGAATTACTCACGTTACCCTGCTGTCTGACTCTTTGGGGTCGAGGACCGTACCCCGCCACATAATATTCTTCCTCCTTGCCCAGCCTCAATTCACCTTTCGCCGTGTTATTCATCCAGTCATACGCGACGGAGTCATTGTTTCCCGACCGAGTACTTCTTTTTTCGAGGAATTTCATCGTTAATTGTCCCTCGTGCAGACTACTTTTTTCCAACTTGAATCTCGACTCGCCACACAATGAGCGCCGCCGAGGAAACCAAGCCCATCGAAGCTGTCGCCGCTGAGGCGCCCGCCCAGGCTGAGGAGCCTGCGAAGGTCGAGGAACCTGCCAAGACCGAGGAGCCTGCGAAGACCGAGGCCGAGGCCAAGCCTGAAGAGAGCGAGGCGAAGCCCGAGGAGAAGAAGGAGGAGCCTGAGGTCCTCAAGACGACTGCAAAGATCGACGATAAGAACCACTCGAACAACGTTAAGTTTGATGCTTCGCTCCTCCAGGAGACAGATGACCCGGCGGAGATCCGCAAGCAGGTAAGGCCCTCTCTGCAAGGATGCCTGTCGTTGACAAACGAGCTAACGTTTTGACCAAAAGGTCGAGTTCTACCTGTCAGATAGCAACTTGCCCCATGACAAGTACCTGTGGGAGCTCACTGGTGGCTTCGAAAACAAGGCCATTCCTCTCAAGACGATCACCTCCTTCAAGCGCATGCGCCGCTTCCAGCCTTACTCCGCCGTTGTCGCTGCTCTTAAGGAGAGCCCCGCCCTCGTGATCGCTGGCGAGGAGGGAGAAGAGACGATCCAGCGCAAGCAGCCTTACACCCCTGGTAACGATAGGTTCAACGCTCGCTGCGTCTACGTCAAGGGCTTCGGCGACGAGGAGCCCTCTACTCAGTTCGACCTTGAGGCCTTCTTCACCAAGTTCGGCCCCATCAACTCTGTCCGTCTCCGCCGTACCCAGGAGAAGCTCTTCAAGGGCTCCGTGTTCGTCGAGTTCCCTGATGAGGAGGCCGCTCAGAAGTTCCTCGCCCTCGACCCCAAGCCCAAGTGGAAGGAGCACGACCTGAAGATCATGCCCAAGACCGAGTACGTCAAGGAGAAGAGCGCCCTCATCCACGCTGGCAAGCTCGAGCCCAACACGTCGCGCCGCTTCTTTGAGGGCAAGGATGGCAAGGATGGCAACCGCAGGGGTGGCCGTGGCGGCAACAACAACAAGGACAACTGGAGGGAGCGCCGCGACAACGACCAGAAGAACGGCTTCAGGGGAGGTCGTGGAGGTCGCGGTGGCCGTGGAGGCCGTGGCAGAGGCCGTGGCGGTGATCGCCGGGGCGGACGTGACAACGAGAACCGCAGGGATCCCAATGAGCGCGGTAACGACCGCAACGCGTATGTCTTCACCCCAAACTTGACCGTTGACTATCTTACTAACCTCCATTGCAGCGGCAAGCCTACTATTCAGGCCACGAACGACAAGGGCGAGCCCGTCGCGGAAGACAAGAACAACAACGGCAAGCGCGCCCGTGAAGATGACGGAGCCGCTGCTCAGCCCGAGGCGAAGAAGGTCGACACCAAGACTGAGGTCGCCGCATAGGTTATGTGAGAAGAATGGAAACAACCTCGCGAACGGCACACTCTATCTGAAAAAAGAACGAGATACCACTTACAAAAGCACTCTATCGGGAATCGATTTATTTTGGCTTCACCTGCCCGTTTGACAAAAATGAAGGGCAAACGGTCTATGGCGTTCACGGAACTTGGCTTTAGGTAGCTGGCTTAGAGGTCTGGTTGTTATGAAATAGCATGAGCATGTGGCCTTACTTCAATAACGCCTCACTGTGTGCCCTGTCTGGAGTCGCAAGTGCAAGAATGCCAGCTGCTCTGCCAAGCAGACTTGCGGCTCTTTTGCGGTGTCAACATAGTCAATCAAGATATTTGTACCACTTGCACGCTGCTTGCCTCCTGTCAGGATCCACGCTTGATGATGGCGGAAATCAGTTAACTTCTTTTAGTTGGCGCATCCTTATTGATACTCGACTTACGACAATAAGACCTCGGGCCATCCAACCTGCGATAAGATTATCCTCAGCCAGCGGCAAATTGACTCCTCTTTCTCAGCCGCTCCCCAAACACCCACAAGAGAATGGGGCCAGGCAAACCAATACCGACGGCAATCAATGCCAGCAGCGTATTCCCCCACCCATATTCCAGCCTACGGTACAAAGCCGGTGCAAACAACGGAAACCCAAACCCAGCAACGCTTCTCAGCACCATGACCGAGCCGATGGCAGACGCGGCATACCTCGTATACGTATCGACCAAGAACGCCTGAATGCCCTGGAACCCTACAATGACGCCCGCGCTGAACAGCACCGCGCCAAGATTAGGTAGGATCCAATGGGCCTTGTGCTGCGCAGACCATCCGTATATCAGCAATCCGACGGGTACGAGAACCGCCCCCGGAACCATCATCGGCACGCGAAACTCTGGCTTCCCAGGCCCGCCGTCAGGGACGTAGCGCTTCTTGAGAGCGACGTAAACGCGGTCCTGGAACCTGGCGCATGTCTGGGCCCCGAGGAAGAAGCCGAGGCCAAGCGAGATGTAGTTCAGCCCGCTGATGCCGGTCGACTCTCCATACCTCGTCGTCCAGAGAGCCGAGAAGGTGGAGAGAACAAGGTACATGATGCCGTAGAGGTACATCATGTACACGGCCAACGCCTGGATGATGACCTGCGTGCCGAAGAGGCGGAACGGGCGTGTGAGGGCGCCGGCGAGGGCGCGGAGGACGGTGCGGTCCGGGTTGTCGAACTCGGTGCGCAGGGCGGTGTTGCCCGTCTCCTTGACGAGGCGGTTCTTGATGCGGACCAGAAGTACCGGGGCGCAGGTTTCTTGGAGCACGAACAAGCCGATCCCTTGGACGAGGCCCGCGAACATGGTGGTGCTGTAGAAGATCCAGCGCCAGGTGGTCTCCTGCGTGATGAAGCCGCCCGCGATGGGGCCGATGGCCGGGCCCAGGAGGGGCGCGAGCGAGTAGATCGATATAGCTCGCCCGCGCTCCTCGGCGTTGAAGAGGTCTGCGAAGACGGCGCCGCCGACGGCCATTGGTGCCGAGCCGCCGAAGCCAGCAAGGAAGCGGAAGGCGATGAGCTGGACTTTTGTGGTGGCGAGGCCGCAGCCGAGGTTGAAAGCCATGTAGAGCAGGGTTGTGAGCTGGAGGATGATGATGCGGCCGTACAGCTCGGAGAGAGGGCCCCAGATGAGGGGCCCGAGGGCGTAGGCGAGGACGAAGATAGAGAGGACGAGGATCTGTTCAAAGGCGGAAGGGATGGTGAGGTCGTGGGCTATTGCTTCCAGGGCGGGCGCGACCATGGATGAGGACACTGGCGACAGGAGGGTGTAGAATGAGACTGTTGACGGTGATTTGTGAGTACATGGACTGTCATGTCCTGAGTTCAAGCCAACTTACCACAGAATACTGCTGCCCATTTCTTCTTTGAAGGCCAATTCTTGGGGCTGCGGGGGTCGTTCGGCCCATCCCATGTGATGAGAATGGGCTCTTGTTTGTCTTCAGCAGCGACTGAGTCTTCTCCAGTTGAGTGCCTGTCGAGCTCAGGAGGAGCAGAGAAGACGTCAACTGAGGAGCGCGCATGCTCTACCACAGCTTCGTTTCCTTCTTGCTTCATTGATGCGTGTGGTGTTTCTTCAGGCTTCAACTGCTCTGGGTCTTCTGGGGTTTCTTGTTCCAACACAATAGGTATGCAGCATTTGATGGAAACAAACTGGCAAAGTGTTTCTGTCCGAATGACTTCAGCGTTGGTGGACGCATAAATGCAACAACATCAGAGGTGCATTGGAGGGAGACGTTTCACCAGCGGAGAAACAGACCCTAAGACAAGACTTCAAGTATTGCCCAAAAGTGATCAAACATGCGGCCGTGATTCTTCGTGAAGGTACCCTTGACATATTTCATCCTGTTGACACCCTTCGGCAGGCAACTCCATCTATCCCAATACATGTTTCGGCCGAAATCGTCAATGCTTATCTTTTCCACTCTTTTAGCTCTAGGGCTGAAGGCATTCCGAAACCTATTATCGAGCTGATATAACGCTGACGCAGCAATCCTGGGTTTTGCCGCGAGTCGTCTGCTCACGTTTCCGCGTGGAAGCTGCCCAGGTGTCAATGGATGCCGAATTACCCGAGCGGCTCTTATTACTAGACGACTTTCCACTTGCCAAAGAGAGTTTGTCTAAGTATGTACTGAAGTGGGCGATTGCCGAGAAGTGAGAGTTGCGAGAGGGCCGGTGGGAGGTCGTTGCGATTCATTCTGAACCGTGCACAAGAAGCTTCAGGGACTAAGCTCGTAGAAAGACCCTTCGTCCGATTCATTTATCTCTACTTCGTATTAGCCACTTGAAGCCTTTTGTACAGAAACATGAGCTTTGTAGTGAGAGTGGAAGTATATCTTCCCCGTGATCAGTGTCGTCGCTGTCGTCACCATCGTCTTTACAGGGCCCGAAACAAGGAGAGTTGAAGTCAAAGCCGTGGATACTAAATACTGAATAGCCGTACACTCGGCTACTATCTTTTGATAAGTTCTAGCTTTACAGATGACGGCTCATACATGTGAACAGTCATGACAGCATACGTGTTGTTGACCACTCTAAGCGTTCGTTTACGCGCGTCACCCATGCTTTCCCCAGCATCAGGAATAACTTCAATTCTATGCTTGAGCAAGATTGCCGCAAGCGCTGCCACAAAGCCCACCTGAGAGAACCTTTTCCCGGGGCAGATACGCTTGCCGTCACTCCACGGTAGAAATGCGCCCTCAGGGGGGGCCCGGAGCTGCTCGTTTTCCAGCCCTGCATGTGATTGTGATGAAGTGATCCAACGGCTTGGTCTGAATGATGTCGCATCCGGGCCCCAAACTGGCTTGTGTATTTGAATGCTGGGCATGTTAACGTAGACATTGACACTTGGCGGGATATGTCGGTCGCTCCCGCTGACGAGAAGTGTCGTGGACCCTGAACCGGTGCATTTCGGCAGCACAGAGACTGATGGATAGAGCCGCAAGGTTTCGTTCTAGAATCACCCTGTGAGTCCAAATCAAACATGGAAAGCTCTATTATGGTACTCACCATGACAGCTTGGCATCTCTTCAAGCGAGGGAACACTTCCATGAATGATTCTTCAGATTGCCAGTCTGTCTTTTGGCCAAGGACTGACGTGATCTCTGCTGCCAGCCACTCTTGCTCTTGTGGAAGAGCTGCAAGGAGATAGAGCGCGAAAGTCAAGGTATGAGCGGAAGACTCGTGCCCACCAAGGGAGTAAGTGAAGAGATTCCCACGGATCTCTGACTCTGTAAGATAATTCCGCTTCAAGCTCACGTCGGAACTCACGTTCTCGGCCTCAATCTCGCCATTGCTCTTGACCATGAAGCTTAGAAGATTATCCGTCTGAGTTCGTCTTCTTGTTCCCTTTTCTTCCAGCTCCTCTTTACTAGAAGCAATCATCTCGTCGAGATATTGGCGCATTTCACGTGCGGAATCGCGAAAGTTGCTAATCCTATGTGGCAAGAAGGGCAGATCCAAAATCCACTTTGGCACCAGACGGAGAATGAGCAAGTCCTTAAGACTGGTGTGAAGACAGTCCTTGTAGCTGCGTGAGTGACCTTCCGGTATGTATTTTTCTGCGGCTTGGCGGAAGTCGTACTTGACACCGAAGCAAACCCCCGTGAAAACGTGGAGATACACCTCTCGAACGTCTTCTACGGGGTCAATGATGCGACCGCTCGAGGCTGAGAAGTAGTGTTTGATCATCTGCTGCGTCTGCCTGATGGTTTCGGTCCAGACAAGTCGATTATTTCTGTCGCTCAGTGTAGAGACGGTGGCTTTGCGATGGCGAACCCAGTCCTCGCCATCTGACGAGACAAGACTCGTACCAAGAAAATCGAGCACCTCTGTGATGACGGTTGTCAGCAAACATCTCTTCGAGGAAACTTTGAGAAAGTTTGGGTGTAGCTTACTGGCATAGTGGCTTATTTTGGGGAATTCATTGGCACGTTTCCGTAACACCTCGTCGGCGACAGCAGGATCGCGCGTGTGTATTTCGATCTCCCTTGGGGTGGCATGAGCGAAGGTGTCGCCGAGCTTCTCATGGACTTGTGAGTCTCCATGAGCGCGGTCTACCCAGGTCCAGTCTAGCGCATCGTGTTGAGTCCAGCTTCCCAGGCTGAGGGGGAGACGTTGGATAATCGGGGACAGCCGTTTATTGAAGATGATCCAAAACGGGTTGAATGGGCTGATGGGGCTCCATACCACTGGGATGCCAATGGCTTTGGCGATTCGAATGTTTCGAATCAAGCACAGCAGTGAGTATAGAGCATAACTAGCGCAAAGAAATACGATAACAATAGTGGAAGACATTGGTGATGTGGTAAGAAGCGAAGGCGAGAATGACTGCTCCTGACTACCTCTCGGTGCGTTCCAGCGTGCCCAGCGCAAAGCTCTTTTGAAGCTGTGATCGTGCTTGTTTCGGTCGATAATGCGAGCTAGAGCTGGTCCCTTGTCCCATAGCTCTGATCCTGGTATGGAACCCGAGTCAACTTCTGTTTCCGAAAGTTGCGGGATGTCAAGCACGAGTTGCAGATACGCAGGGGCCAAGCGGAACAAGGAACATACTTTCCAAATCTGCCGACTTGAAGTAAGTACGTTGTGGGATGCGACGCCCTTGGTTTATAATGCTGGCAAACTCTACTCAACGTCACAATTCTGATCAGTCATATCTTTTGATCCACTTCCCGCTCGAAAGACGCAACTGCCAGGTTTTGAGACCGTCCCTCAAAGTATGATAAATTCAGGTGATGTTGGCGGAAGTAATGGTTCTGAAATAAAGTTTGGGAAACTCCGAGGAAACAAAGATGGTCGCCGATGCCAGAAGCGAGGCCCTTTGACCAAGTCCATACTGCACTGCTGCTTGTTTACCACAGCTAATTGAGCTTGCTGTCTAGATTGGTCACACAGTGCCAGCACAAGCATATTGTCTAGATTCGTTGTCACATTGTTATCTGAACCTCTGAAGACACAGAGATCATGGAAAACAAAGTGTTTTCAAATGGCATGTCCATGTCTTATACAGTGTGGCTCATAGTTGGCGCTTTAAGTGCTATCCTAATGAGACATGTTGCCCTTGCGATACGGGGAGAGAGGATCATCGGGAAATTGGGTGGACATGCCCAAAAGTTCCAATCTTATACGCCTATCGGTAAGTAGTTGCGTGTCTCACATAATGAAGTCCAGTATTTGGCGACATATGGCTAATGCTCCCCAGAATGGTTGTCTGGAATTCATTTCCTCTTGTCGATCACATCATACGCTTTGAAAGATCAAAATCTCAAATTCATGCACAACACCTTCCGTATTTCTGGAAAAGGAAAAGAAAATCCTTACACTTTCGAGGTCAACATGCTTGGCTCACGCACGTTGTTTACTTCTGACCCCGAGAACATTCGAGCCATGTTAGCAACGCAATTCAATGATTTCGGGAAAGGCGAAAGGTTCAGAAAAGACTGGTTCGATCTTATGGGAAACGGCATCTTCAACGTAGACGGAAGCGCCTGGCATGAGTCTCGCCAACGACTTCGTTCACTTTTCACTCGCCAACGGGTCAGCGATCTCGCTTGTTTCGAGCGCCACGTCCAAGACATGATTCCCATGTTGAGCGGAGGCCGCACCGTCGATGTGAAGGACATCTTGAGCAGATTTGCACTTGATGTATCGGCAGACTTTTCCTTGGGACGACAGATTAATTCGCTGACAAGTCACCAAAATGACGAGTTTTTCGACGCCTTCGAACGTATCCGCCATATTCAATCCTTGATAGAACGATTGGGCCCTCTGAACTTTCTCGTCCCTCGACGCCAGTTTCGCCGGGACCTGGAGACTCTAAATGATTTTATGAAACCAACAATTGAAAAGGCAGTTTCTATGACTGCAGAAGAGCTCGAGGAGATGGATAAGACAGACCATGGCTGGACGCTTCTTCATGCATGCGCCTCTGTCTCCCGAAACAAACGCTGGCTCCGAGACGAAATGGTTGCTATTCTCATAGCAGGCCGCGACACGACTGCTACAACCATGTCTTGGGCCTTTTATGAGCTAGCCAGGAATCCCGACGTCCTGGCTGACCTTCGGCGTGAAATTGAACTCACGGTCGGCGTTGGAGACTCAGCTCGGGAGCCAACTTACAAAGACCTGAAGAGCATGACTTTCGCCACTCATGTACTCAACGAGACCCTGAGGCTGTACCCGAATGCGCCTTTCAACATCAGAGCAGCCGTAAAAGACACCAGTTTGCCGCGTGGCGGGGGTCCAGATGGGAACGGCCCAGTTGGCGTTCGCGCTGGCACTCAGGTCATCTATTCTACCCATGTTTTGCAGCTTCGAGAAGATCTCAATGCGTACGACTTTGCACCGATTGATGAGTTCTGCCCTCGCCGTTGGGACTCTTGGACCCCGAAACCGTGGACTTACATCCCGTTCAACGGTGGTCCTCGGATCTGCGTTGGACAACAATTGGCTCTTACCGAGATGGCATATGTCTTAGTACGTGTGTTTCAGCGGTACAGGAGTGTGCGGATAGGAGTTTCGCCCAGTAAAGCCCAACCAAATGAGGTGGGCTGGGTAAGAAAAGGGTCCGGGCCTGAAGGGATGGAGAGATTTGTCGGCACAAGATTGCGCATGGCGAGTGAGATTACTCTCTCTCCTAGAGGAAGCGTTGATTTGAGATTTATTGAGTGATATTCAAGACGACCTTTGTCTTTTTTTAAAGTAACCTCGAAATAACAGTTCGCGAAAGACTTTTCTCGCTTCTCCCCATTTCCTTTATTATTTTATCTCCCTCTAAGATTGTCCCTATCATTAGCAACATTGTCATCGTGTCTGTTGTCGTCTGTAAACTATCTGTCCGACCAACAAAATTCTTCTGAGAATCGCACTCACGGTATTGATAAATGTTTGACAGGTTCAGATTCACATACTATGACGTATAAGAATGAATACATTAAGAATGATAACCAGAATGATAACAGTGTTGCAGCTGAAATTGTACAGGGCAATAAATAATAACTGGGCTTAGTTTACGATCTAGAAGTTATAAGTTACACCGGGAGTTCTCGGTGACTTTGCCTCGAAGAGCAGTGTAGTTCCAACGACTCGAGATTCCACGCTCTCAAAAGCGGCTTCAAGAGGCTGAATAACGTCACCCGTACAGTCCCCTTCATTATGAAAGACACCCGAAAAATTATAAACAGACATGAGCAGCCTTCCGAAAGTATTGTGCTTTACTCCAGAGCCGAGGACAGTGGCGCCAACAACGGCGCCGCCAGGTTTCAACAATCGGCACAGGCGCGCGACTGCTTCTCCTTTACGGCGCCCTTCTCCTGGGAGACAATGAAGAAGTAACATGCAGGAAATGACATCAAAACTCGTATTTCCTCCAGCACCAGACAACCGAACTGATGATGGTGTTTTGTCGTCACCAAGTTCAAAGACGTCTGCTAGGACTACATCAACATCCACATCTTTGTGTGTGCGCTTGATGCGTCCGCGAGCCTCGGCGAGGGGGTTTTCGTTGATATCGGCTAGGATCACTGTTGTGTCCGATGAGAGAGGGGCATGTTCGATGAAGTGGCCTGTGCCGACGCCAATGTCAAGCAGGCGGGGGCAAGATACGGCAGAAAGGGAGCTGACGTGTTTGCTGTAGTGTCCCTGAAGAACATCCTCGGGACATCCCCAGGCGCGGGGGCAGATGAACCTAAGGACGAGGGTGTCGTAAAACCACTGGAGGAACAGTGGGAAGTAGATTGCGTTGCCGAACTCAGCTCTGCCCATGATGACGTTATGAGGATAAAGGGTGTTCTGTCAAGTCAAGAAACCGAACCAATTCTGTCAGAAGCTGCCTCGCAGTTATGTCGGAAACAAGTAGAATGGTGTTAATGATGTGTTGCAGTCAGTCAGGTCGGGTCCAAGTCGTGATGTGGTATAAAGTTTCGCCTGATACGAAACCGAGGCTCCGCTGCCGTCAATGCTCTCTTGTGAACAAGGAGCTATGATCCATGTAACCCTCAAAGTTCTGGAAGCCCACTTACTAGGTTAGGTAACTTTGAAGCGGAACTTATCAACTTGGAAGGAAGCTGAAGTTTAAATCCAGATGTTGTCTGATGTTGGAGACTGACGTCCCGGAAAGTGGGTACTATCAGACTCAAGAAGCTCAGTCACACAAACACTATTGCGCGAGTTTCAAACCTGACTGGACAACACTCGATTGTGGACGGTCGCAAAAGGGTAATGACTCGGTCCGACTTGCATTAGTTCGCGGATGGCGGAACACCAATCCACTCATAACAATCAGTATAACGAAATCCGAGACTTCGTGAACGGCTCCAAGAAAGTGTCAAACCTTGCAAAGCGGCTGTGATATGCAATGAGACCGCGGCAGTTGTGACCGGCAGGCTATTCGGCTCCGTTCGCCGACGACGTCGGCGTTTGTGATCGACGAAGCTGTCACACATAACACTTCGTCATGAATATATATGATATCGGCGATGAATGAATCAGGTTGGCATGGCGTGGTCGGCACTTCATCTAGGCGCCCTCAAGTTCAGAAAGGACAACATCAATTTTGACTTACATTCAGTAGTAGTGAAGTATACTTTACTGTCCGTCTCTTCACTAGAGCAGATGCAGATCTTTGAACCAAACTGTCGGAGACTTTGAGTGAACCCGAGTCTAAACATGAACCCCAACATGGACTTCCCTAAATCGGAGCACACCCAACCCATAGCCATCATTGGCTTGAACCTCAAATTTCCTGGAGATGCTACGTCACCGGAGGCATTTTGGGACATGCTACAGAATGCACGAAATGCTTCAACGAAAGTGCCGACATCACGCTTCAATGTCGATGCATTCTACCATCCAGATCCAGCTCGTCTGGACAGTGTAAGTCTGCTCGGTGCCTGTTTCTAGCACCCCAAGCTGATGTCTGTGATAGATGCGCGTTCCCAAAGCTCACTTCATGAAAGAAGATCCTCGAGCTTTCGATGCTGCCTTTTTCAACATGTCTCCAGCGGAGGCGTCCATTCTGGATCCCCAACAACGTGGACTTCTCGAAGGGACATACCACACTTTTGAAAATGGTAGGTCACATCAAATATCGTCTTGGATCGCACTCAGATCTGGAAATGTTGTCCAAGTCGATCAGTCACAGGCTCCATGAGACTAACATTGCGCAGCCGGGTTAGCTATTGAACGTGTAGCTGGGTCTCGCACCTCCGTTTTCTGTGCCTCCTTTGGTCGGGACAGCGACGCTACCGTAGCTCGTGATCCCGAGTTTCAGTCCCGATACCAGGCAACGTCGTCAGGCTCATCGATGTTGTCAAACCGCATCAGTCACTTCTTTGACCTTCGTGGGCCATCTCTGACAGTTGACACGGCGTGCTCAAGCGGGTTGTACGCTCTGCACTTGGCTTGCCAGAGCATCTTGACTGGAGAGTCAGATATGAGTCTTGTCTGTGGCTCGAACACCTACCTCACCCCTGAATGCATGAGCTTCCCACTCAGCAACGCCGGTTTCCTGTCACCCGATGGACGATCGTATAGTTTCGACCGGAAGGCCAACGGCTACGCCCGCGGCGAGGGGTACGCCTTTGTGCTTCTCAAGCCTCTCAAAGCAGCACTCCGTGATGGAGATACTATTCGTGCCGTAATTCGGGCCACAGGCGTCAACCAAGACGGGCGAACACCGAGCATCACCCAGCCCAGCGCTGCTGCTCAGGTCGAGCTTATCAAGAAGACCTACGAGGCAGCCGGCTTGAGTCTTTCTGAGACCGAATATGTGGAGGCTCATGGCACGGGCACGCCAGTTGGAGACCCCATTGAGGCTTCTGCAATTGGCCAGGTCTTCCGGCCTCACCGAAATCGCCCCGTATGGATCGGCTCAGTGAAAAGCAATATTGGGCATCTTGAAGGCGCGAGCGGGCTGGCAGGGCTGCTCAAAGCAGTATTCGCACTTGAGAAGAGTGTGATACCGCCCATTGCAGATTTCGAAGAGGCGAATCCAGCGATTGACGTCGACGAGTTGGGTATTAGCTTCCCGACGAAGCCAACACCTTGGCCAGTGACAGAATCGGGGATCCGTCGGGCCTCGATCAGCTCCTTTGGATACGGAGGATCGAATGCGCATGCTGTTCTGGATGATGCTTATAACTACTTGCGGACTCATGGCTTAAGTGGCCACCATCGTTCCGTGGACTCGTCTCGGAATATCACCAACGGTACCTTAATCAACGGCACCAAACCCAATGGAATCAACGTCAACGGAAAAACTCAGAATGGGAATAGCCAAGATGGTGGAGTTTCTACCAACCCCTGTGGTCTCTTGACATTCTCTGCCGCAGATGAAGATGGAACACACAGACAAGTCTCGACACTAGAGAACCATTTCGCCCAACACCCTACCAGCTCAGCAGATGCCCTAGCGGACTTGGCGCACACTCTGTCACGTCGCAGTCTCTTGAGTTGGCGCGCTTTCGCTGTCGTCGAGTCGTCAGATGACCTCAAGTCGACACTTGCAAAATCCCTTTCGCCAGTCGTCTTCGCTCTGCCTTCCAAAACTCCTGAATTAGGCTTTGTGTTCACAGGGCAAGGTGCCCAATACTCGCGCATGGGTCTTGGACTTCTACAGTATGAAGTGTTCCGTCAAAGCCTGCTTGACTGCAACGAATACTTACGATCCCTCGGATGCGAGTGGTCGGTTCTGGAAGAAATGCAACGGCCAGAAAATTCCTCAACGATTCACAAGCCGGCGCTTTCGCAGCCACTTTGCACAGCTCTCCAAATCGCCATTGTTGATCTTCTCCGATCATGGGACGTAGTTCCTCAATCCGTTTGCGGACATTCATCGGGCGAGATTGCGGCAGCATATTGTGCTGGTGCCATTGATCGTCGTTCTGCGTGGAATATTGTTTACTTCAGAGGAGTCTTAGCCGAAAGGTTGGCGTCTGACGCATCGAGGGCCAAGACAACCATGATGTCTGTTGGCCTAAGCCAAGATGATGTTCTCCCTTACCTTCAAGACGGGCTTTCGATTGCCTGCGTCAATAGCCCTGTCAATGTGACTCTATCGGGGCCAGTCGATGCCATCGAGCAGCTTTTGAGTAAGCTGGATGGAGAAGAAATCTTTGCCAGAAAGCTCTCGGTTGAAGTCGGATACCATTCTAAAACGATGGAGGCAGTCGCCGCGGAGTACCATCAAAAGATTCAGGATATTCATGCTCCACCACAAGATTGCAACAAGGCTTCTCAAAAGCTGTCGTCGATTGCACTGTACTCATCCACGACGGGAGAGCTCGTACCACATCTCAAGGTGATTGACCCGGCATACTGGGTACGCAACTTGGTGTCGCCTGTTCTCTTTTCCAATGCCATCTCATCTATGGGCGGAGCCAAGCAAGGTGCACGTCAGTTCTTGGTGGAGATCGGACCACAGTCCGCTCTGCGGCGCCCAGTACAAGACACACTGGACCGGGTCATTGGGAAGACCTCTTCAGATAAATGGCGATACTCCTGCATTCTGAAGAAGGACGGAAACGATGGCAAGGCACTGTTGGAAGCCATAGGATCCATTTGGACAGCAGGCATCTCATTCAACTCGAGTAAGGTGAACGAGGATTCAATCCAGCCTAGTCGGAAGCCACAGCTGATTGTCGACCTCCCTGGATATCCGTTCAACCGCTCACGAGAACTTTGGGAAGAAAGCCGACTAAGCCGCAACTATGCAAACCGACCTTACCGCCGCCATGCTCTTCTTGGTGTTCGAGATAGAGATTGGAATCCGGAAGAACCAAGCTGGAGACATTTCATACGATCACAAGAGAATCCATGGATCTTGGATCACGCCTTGAATGGTTCTCCCCTGTATCCCGGCGCGGGAATGCTCGTCATGGCCATCGAGGCCGCACGGCAACTTGCCGCTGCTGTAGAGTCTCGAATCGTTGGTTATCAACTAGACAACGTGCGCTTCCTCCGCGCCATCAACGTCAATGACTCAGAACGAGGAACCGAGGCGAAGATCGTGATGCGTCGGCGGAGGCAAGCTACCAACACCAGCGGCCAGATGCTCTGTTACGACTGGCGCGTCTTTGGCACGAACGGCGACAACTGGGATGAGTGCGCTTACGGCAGTATCAAAGTCGAGTTGGAGCCCGAGCAGAGTGTGACCCCTGAGCAGGCGGCTCTCTGTGAAGCTCGCCGTGCTCGCTTCGCTACCACTATCTCCGACGAAGTGCAAGAAGACGCGGAACAATGTCGTTTGAGCGTTCACTACAGCCAGCTTTACAAAAACATGTCTAAACGTTCTGGTTTTGACTACGGGCCATACTTCCAGCTTCTCAGGAATATCGGTTACGACAGGGATGGCCATGCTACCGCTACTCTATCTCTGAGAGACTACACCAAGACTATGCCATTTGCCGGAGAAGATCCATGTGTTGTCCATCCAAGTACTCTGGACGCGATATGTCATCTCCAGATGGTGGCGCTATCGCAGGGTGGATGGAACGCCGTTCCCACCATGATGTTCTCTCACCTTCGAAAGCTTTGGGTATCCCACAAGCTTTTCCGTGCCCAGGACAACCCTCAAATCAAGGTTGCAACCCATGAGACGATGAGAGCTTTCAGAGAGGCGGAGTGTCGGACGACAGCCATGCTTGCTGAGACCTCCGAACCCGTCATCATCTTGGACGGTCAGCGCGGCACCGCTATCTCAAGTCTGTCAAAGACGAAGGCGGGCATTGGCTCTGACAAGGACTCCAAGCAGTTGTTCTACAGTCTTGATTACAATCCAGATCTGTCGCTTCTGACTGAAACTGAAAAGAGCAAGTATCTTACCAACGCCTTTAAGCAAGATCCTCGGTGCAAGGCCCCGGATAAGGGAATCATCGACCGCGCCGACGCCATTGCACTTCATTTTATTGAAGCCGCTCTGAGTGAGATCGATCAAGATGACCAGGCCACGAAGTACCATGGTCATCTGGAGCGGTATGTGGCATGGATGCGCCGAGTTCGTCAGAGCAGGGAGAAGTGGACGCTAGAGTCCCGAGGACTCGGCGATACAAATATCCAGGATATTCTGGAGAACGCTGACTCTGAGCCCACGCAGAGGCTTACCAAGAAGGTCGGTGAGCATCTGTACCGCATTTTGAGAGGGGAAGAGAACGCCTTGCAGATCATATTTGAGGGTAATCTGGCCGATGGTAAGCATTTCAGAATGAGCAACGTTGGCCCCTGGATGCTGACCGACACAACACAGAGTTCTATCATTCGAACATTTTTTCAACCAACAACAGCAAAATGGGTGCCTATATGAGCATTCTGTCTCACGCACAGCCTAATATCCGCGTGCTAGAGGTTGGTGCTGGCACGGGGAGCTCGACTGGTCGGATCCTCCCATACTTGTCGGTGGATGGGGAAGAATGGGGTCCTTCCAAACCTGTTCGGTAAGTTATCGGCTGTTGATACACCTCAATGTTTATTTCAAAGGACTCTTGGAACTTTTCTCATACAGTCACTAGCTTTGGCGAGTACGTCTACACGGACGTGTCAGCCGGCTTCTTCGAGAAAGCCCGCGAGCGTTTCTCCTACGCCGCAGACCACATGACATTTAGAAAGCTCGATCTCGAACAAAATCCATTCTCTCAAGGCTTCGACAAGGCGAGCTACGATGTTGTTGTTGCGGGTAACGTTCTCCATGCAACGAGCGATCTGATACAGACCCTTCGATACGTTCGAAGCCTCCTGCGCCCTGGCGGTGTCCTTATCCTTGGAGAGACGGTTAACCTCGACAACGTTCGGGACGGCCTCATCTTTGGTCTCTTGCCTGGCTGGTGGTTGCGAGACGGGCAGTGGTGGTCTACGAATGAGGAGTATCAAGATCAAGGCCCTCTGTTGACCGAAAAGCAGTGGGATGTCGTCCTGCGTGAAGCTGGGTTCCCGGGAGTCCAGATGACGTTTAGGGATCATGAAGAAAAGCCGCATCATCGTGTGTCGGTCATGATGACCTCAAGGACTGAAGACGAAACCACAAGCGAAGATTACGTCAACGTTGCACCTGATCAACCATGCGGAAGCTCGAGCTATGGGATCATCATCGATCCATCATCTGACATCCAGGGGGTTATTGCTGAGACGCTCCAGGAGACTCTTACAAAGGAATTGGAAGTTCGCGCGCCAGAAGTCATCACCATGGCCGATGTTCTCTCAAACACCGTCCAGCTACAGGACAGGATTATCGTCAGCCTTCTCGAGCTCGAAGGCTCCCTCCTCAAAGACATTCCCGAGCCTACCTTCACCGCCACCAAGAAGATCTGTCTCGACACCAAGTCAACCCTCTGGGTGACTCGTGGTGCCAGCCCCGACGCATCGATTCCCACGTCAGACATAACTACAGGCTTTGGGCGAAGCGTCTGCTCCGAAAGAGGCGACCAAAACTTCACGACCCTGTCCTTGTCCACGAGTCCCACGGCCATCTCTATCCCGATTATTGTCGACCACATCACCCGCGTCCTCAAGCATCACCGCCCAGGTCTCGAAAATGAATCCGAGTTCTCAGAAACAGCAGACGGCGTTCTCTGCATCCCACGTCTCACCCCAACCTCACACCTTGAGCGAACCCTCTCCCAACGCCACAAGCTGCCACAGCCCATGACTTACAGCACCACCACGCCCACCCCAGCCAAACCTCACATTTCGGCAAGTATCGAAACGCCAGGTCTTCTTGACACACTATTCTACGCCGAGTCTTCCCAAGATTCTGGCGATCTAGCCGACGGCGAAGTCGAGATCGAGATCAAAGCAACCTCTCTCAACTTCAAAGACGTCATGATCGCCCTCGGCCAGATCCCCGGGCGCTCCTTCGGGTTTGACGGCGCGGGCATAATCACCCGCACCGCCCAAAACAGTGCCCTCCATCTCGGCGACGCTGTACTATTCTGCTCGTCCAAGGGTGGTGGATTCGGCACATTCGTGCGCTGTCCGGAGCTCCAGACGGAGAAGATCCCGCAGGGGATGAGCTTCCACGTCGCGGCGGCGATACCGGCTGTCTGGTCGACGGCAGTATACTCGCTGGACCACATTGCAAGGCTGCAGAAGGGGGAGACGGTGCTAATTCACTCCGCCGCGGGTGGCGTGGGACAGGCTGCCGTACAGCTTGCGTTACTGAGGGGCGCTGAGGTATTTGCGACGGTGGGAAACGAGGCCAAGCGGCAGCTCGTGAAGGATCTGTTTGGATTGGACAATGGCCACATCTTCAACAGCCGCGACGATACCTTCGCCGAGGACGTTCTTCACGCTACAAAGAACCGCGGCGTGGATATTGTCCTCAACTCGCTTGGCGGCGAGCTACTCAGGCAGTCATGGGAATGCATCGCGCCCTTTGGGCGGTTCATTGACATCGGCAAGGCGGACATCATCGCGAACAACACGCTCCCAATGGGCCCATTCAACAAGAACGTCACGTTCTCCGCGGTGGATCTCGTGGTTGTCCACGAGGAGGCGAAGCCGCTAATGAAGAAGATCTTGCAAGATGTCGTGCGTCTCTTTGAGGAGCATCCAGGGCTGGCTGAGCCTAAGCCGCTGCACGTTTTCTCCCCGTCGAAACTTGAGGAGGCTATGAGGTTTCTTCAGGGGGGCAAGAACACCGGTAAGGTTGTGATTGATTTTGATGCCTCTGATGAGCTAGTGTATCGGCCTTCGCCGCAACCTGGACTGGAGTTCAGGGGTGATGCGACGTATATCGTTAGCGGTGGACTGGGTGGTTTGGGTCAGGAAATTGTGAGATGGATGGTCAGCCGCGGAGCGAAAAATCTGCTGCTGCTTTCATCTCGCGGAGCCCAGGGGCGAGCGGACGCGATGAAGTTCATCGAGGAGCTCGAAGGCACCCGCGAAGTCAAGATCCTCGCGCCAGCATGCGACATAACCAACCGCGCTCTCCTCGCCGACACCCTTTGCCAGGCCACAGAAACCCTCCCCCCGGTCAGAGGCTGCATACAAGCAGCGATGCTCCTGCGTGACGACATGCTCGCCAACATGTCCGCCGCCACCTTCCACGCCGCCCTCGACCCGAAATACCTCGGCCCCCAGAACCTGCACGAGCTGCTCCCCTCAGACCTGGACTTCTTCATCATGCTGTCTTCCTTCTGCGGGATCATGGGCAACCGCGGCCAGAGCAACTACGCCGCCGGCAACGCCTTCGAGGACGCCCTCGCGCGGCACCGGGTCACGCGCGGGCTCAAGGGCGTGGCCGTCGACCTGATGCTGGTCGCCGAGGCCGGGTGGGCCAACGTCAACTACGAGTCCGTCACACAGAGCCTGCGGGCCGGCCACGGCGGCCTGACGCAGGCGCAGCTCATGGCTTTGCTGGAGATGCTATGCGACCCCGGGTACGATTGCTCGCGGCCTGGTGCGGCGCAGGTCGTGAACATGGTCGATAGCCCTGCGGAGCTGGCGCGGATGACAGGGCTGGGGCTGTTGGACTGGATGCAGAAGCCGATTTTCAACAACCTCTTACGCATGGGCGAGACGGACAACAGTGACGCGGCCGGCGGACGCGGAGCAGCTGGGGATGACAAGGGTGATGAGATTGATTATCTTGGTCTTGTCAAAACGGCGGCGGACTTGACTGCGGCCGGAGAGGTTGTCACACAGGGTCTGGTGCAGAAGCTGGGAAAGAGCTTGTCTGTCCCGGCTGAGACACTTGACGTTGGTAAGCCTGCGTATGTTGTTGGTGTGGATTCCTTGATTGCGGTTGAGGTGAGATATTGGTTCATGAAGCGGCTGAATGTTGAGGTGCCCGTGTTTGAGATCTTGAAGAACCAGAGTATCACGGAGCTGTGCCAGCAGGTTGCGTCAAAGGTTCTTCAAGGGACAGCTAAATAGGGGTGTTTGAAACGCATGCTAGAACATGTTTTCTTTATTTCGATATATACTAGAAAAGACAGAAACATTCTTAGAAATTAGATACAGATTCAACCTCATACTGCCGCCACAAATACACTCTGAGAAATATTAGCCCATCTCTTAATTCCTTTAGAAAGTCTCAACAAGCCTTAGCTTCACAACTGTTTGCGCAGAAGAGTTTGCGCAGAAGACTGTAACTACACAAACATACAACATGCGCCAGGTTGAACACGATAGGAGCGTGCAGCTCTGTTACCGAACTGCTCCCAGAAGAACCCGGTGTCGTCGATGTCGTCTCTGTCATCTTTCTTGATCCGCAACGATCTGCCTTCAGACCCCCATTCCCCAAGCCTAGTCCATTTGCAAGCAACAGACGAGAGTAAGCATGCGATAGACACCCAAGCTTTCGAAGATCCAAAACAAACATGAAGCCAGCCGATCCTTCTCGATTCAGATTATTCCCCCCAGGCCGACGGCGATCAACCACTCCCATTCACACCACTCCTCCCAAGACGGGGCGGCGACCTACCACGCGCGACGCCCAAAGTGACATAGTCAACATTCCAATACCAGCACAGATGAGCCCGCGCTGACGCCGTCCCGTTGCGGCTTGAGAAGTAAACGGCACGCCTCGCCCGTGGAGGCGGGCTGCTGTCGGCAGGGGGCCTACAGCGGGGTGTGTCATTGACCCAGACTTTGCACGTCTTTGGGAGGGGCCTAGACAGACAGCTTTAGGGAGGCGAGAGGGTGCCGCTGTTCAGATGAACGTGATCAACGCCAGAGTTTCAGCTTGTCGATGAAATAATATCGGGTGCCTTGGTAGCGACGTTGGGACGCTGGGAGGATCCTCGGAAGGGATCTTCCTCAATGTCGTGGGGGGCGAATGGCACCGTTGATGTTGAAGGGACCGAGCCAACTCGGGCCTAGGGATGGACTGACGGTGTTTGAGAAGCGGGAGGCAAGTGGCAAAGGCTAGAGTAGCTATGCTTTTGCACTGAGAGAAAGTTGTGCACGGGTGCTGTTCATGGAGGACGTAGATCCAGGCACGGAGCCATTTACACCATGGTGTAATATCTCAAGCTCTTGCCATCCAAGGTGCATACGAGCTCCGAGAAGCATTTCAAACCTCCCGCCGTAAAGTGAGAACACAGCTAAGTCGCACGTCAGAGCTGGCCAGCTGACTTCCCCGCAAAACCGCAGCCCTAGACATCGGCAGTCTCCTGCAAATGCCGCAGGATGCCCTGTCAAATTGGAACACGAGACGGAGGATGGCCTCAAATAGGACAGCGTCAGATGCGTAAGGCCGCAAGTGTGTGTGTTTTCAACATTCTGGTAGGGGAACGCGGCTCGACGTGCCGTGGAAACGGTGGTGTGTGGACTTTGGTGATATGGAAAGCCCTCATGCAGTGGGCTGTCATTCCTGCACCTGTACCGTGTTGATGGGGCTGCGAATTCGGACAAGCCAATGCTTCGAGCCTGTCGCATCCACACGCCAGACGGGTTGTTTGATGGCCTTGTAGATGCGGGCAGGGTAGCTTACCATCTATGCATGTGTGTGTAAATTTGCTCCTGCCGCAGGTTATCTTCCGAGTTGACCGAAAGATCGACCCACACCTTTAGAAAAACAATGCCTTCACTTTCCACGTCCACAGCCTGTCTCACGCAGGTGATCCCTCCATACTAGATGCAAGCCGTGGGCAAACATATGCAGGTCCCTGGGCCAAGGCGGAGACCGCAGCCGTGAAGTCGACCTTGGGGTTGTGTGAGCCCGCTTCTCTCATAAGGTGTGACTGGAGTTGAGCAATGCCATCGTACGTAGACGATCAGTCCGCGATATTTGCGTCATTATGTGACCGACGGTAGGTGGCTTCGCTTGCTAGCTTTGGTCCGTAAGTGAAGCTTTTAATAGACACTCCAAACTCGATACTACTTCGGAGTGCAAGAAAGTGAAGGTACGTCGTCCAAATAGACCTGGCATGCATCATGACAGCTCCAATAGGGCGTGACAACAAGCTTTAGCCGGCACTTGGATGTCAACCTAGTTTTTTCTCCTATATTCCGAGTTGACCCTCAATTCTAATGCAGTTCGCAGCGTGCAAGACAATATCGAATGTGTCAAGACGCGACCACTTTGCGTCCAGTGCAAGAGTAACATTTTCTGACGGCTATTTGGATGCTGTCCCTTCTTCTGGGACACATGCCTTGCTTTATTTTAGGCCACTAGCCTTGCATCTTTGACTTGCTACAGTTGCGAAACAAAAGGAGGCCTTCGTATCGAATAGTCGGCTCAACTGAAAGCCTTCGTTCATTTGCAATGGTCTTATGGGCTCTGTCCTCCGAAAAAAGCAGCTCCAGTGACGAAGAGCGACATTTCTCATCTCAAGCTAACGAATAAAATGTTTGTTAAATAGTCAGCCTCGCTGGCATGGCGATGCTCATGAAACTTGTGTTTCCTGATCCTTGACCGGAGAAGCAACGACGTGGCGGATCCTCCAAGATCAGCGTCTTAGCGGGTCACGAGAGGGGCATCCTCCCTCCTCAGCTGTAAGCTTGCTGCATCCCATCCGACATGCATCGGCGGCTAGGAAAACTCCCCGACGATCCACTAAGAAGGAGAGCATCTTGCCGGGCCCGGAAGGTCGGATAAAGGCAGACCTGCGCCGTTGGCGCGGGGGGAGGGACCTGTCCCCACAGCAAAATATTCCAAGCGCATCTACCATTCGATTTTGATGCTCATTGCGACAGGATATCGACAAAAATGATTGAAATTGATCCCCAAGAGACCATCAGCCTCTCGGCCGTAGTCCGGCTTGGAAGACAGGCGTCTAGCGAGTGAGGACACTGTTGGACAACAGTACGGGTCCAACTTGTCTGATGGAACGACGGTCCACCTGCCGAAGCCCCCAACGCGCCCCAACTCGACTATGTGTTGGTTGAACGCTCAAGACCAGCCGGTAATAACACTGCAACTTCGCCGCAAGAAGCAGAGCCAGACGCAGTGCTTCCTCTAGACTGCAACTCCGGACTGGGAACTCGGAGATCCACCTCGACATCCGCCGTCACTTGACCGCAGCTCAACACGGGGAGACCTGGCCGTCAAGCCTTGTCGGGAGCATGATGGACCACTCCAAAACCAATGTCACGGCGGCTGAGAAGCCTGTCGTCCAATAGGGTACCTATCCTCTTTTTGTGTCTTGTTGGTTCAGAGGATTGATGCGACGACGATGTTCAAGCCAAGACGGCAGAAGAAGCTAAGAACCAGGATGGCAGGGGCTTCAGCGTGCCGTCTCGTATTGATCAACTGAAGGGTTCGAGTCTCGACGGGCCGACCTGAACCAGCTCGCCCTTGGCCTGATTTCGTCTGAGAATTGACGCGGGGAGACTGAGATTATTCGGTGAGGCCACAATGGCCAATGAACGGTGGTATCGAATGCTCGCCCGAACCCTCGCTACTAGCTGGATTCTGGATAGCCAAACTGCCTGGGACAGAACTCTTGTCCGCCACGTGGAGCTGATGGGCGGACGGAACGGGACTTGTCCCGCCGAAGCAACGTAGGTATGAAACGAAAAGGAGATGTAGCATCGGCCATTGTTTAGACACGGCCGGCAACGCTCTAGACTAAGAGAAGGTGCTGACAGAGTCGAGACCTACTGCAATGTCGTCACACCCAAGCGCCTTTGGCCAGGTGCCGGAGATTGATGACGAGCTTGGATGAACGACGACCTAGAGACCTGCTGCACACTAGGTCATGGAAGGAACCTCTCGAGAAGGCTCCCTCAGTGGCTTCATAGCCTTCGGAGCGCAAAAAGACGGGGTTGATGGTGATGAGCACTTTGGTAATAAACGTCGATGACTTGCGTGGCAGGATCTGAGCCACTCCAAAGTTGGCATCTACCGCTCGCTGCTGTCTCTGGATCCATCAGCCCGGGGGGTTTGACACTGGTGAAGTTGGGATTTGGAGCAATTTGAAGATGTGGATGAGTTGGGGTAGAACAGGGGTGGTCGATTGGTTCGTGGAGTAACGAGCGCGGGAAACCCACGAATGAGAACCGCGTTCGCGGTACGCCGTCAGATCTTTCCAAATCTTGGAGTTTCGGACCGACGACCGTTATGGTATGGCGCCACGCGCGACGCCATTTTGCATTTTGCCTAAATACCTCGTGGCACAGTGGGCAACCTAATTTGGTGGTGCCATCACCCTCTGATTGTAATCAACGAGCCGCCACTGTTTCCTCGTTGTCTTCCATGGCAATGTGTATGCAATGGTCGGGTATGACGAATATTTCTCTACATGAATTGATGATTCAATCAGGCTTGGGGTTTGCCTCTCGCTCCTAGCCACCAGCTTGCCGGAAAGGGCTGGGCGAGAAAAGTTGACCGAGGTTATGTGGTACAGATCAGGGCCAAGGACGGCTCGGAAAGCTTCGCGAAGAAGCCGTAAAATTCGCAAAAAGTTGTGTGTGCGCTTGCCGGTACCGAGGCACCGCGGCTGGTTTAGTGCACATTGACAAATATGCTAGCCACCGCGGCACGGGACAACGTCGTTGTCGAAGTCGATGAAGGCGGCATGAAGCCATGGCTGCAAAAGTACTCCAGAAGCCCCACCCGCACTCTGTGACTTAGCTCTTCGTCCTCCCGTTATTCTGAGTGCCCAAGGCCGATGACGGTAAGGAGCATCGGCCTCAGTTAGGGTAGGGTGGTTGTTGGTACTTGGTAAATAACCCCTCAGAATCGACAGCGATTAGCAAGCAGGGATCTCCTGGTAGCACCTGTGAAGGCGGAATGACCCGGCTTCACGCTCTGAAGTGTTGTAGCAGGCGAGTACTTGTCACAGAGCTTGTAAGCCTGTCTTTTGTAGCACGCATGCGCATGGCGGATTGAAGAGACAAGATGACCGCCAACTAACGACCTGGGCTTGGTATATGTTGCTTCTTTGTACGAATCTCGGAAAGGACCGAATGGGACTTTTTAGGGGGCG